TCTGGCTGGCGTGGCCAGGGCTTGCCTTGGGCAACCTGTTTGCTGAGGCTCCTCCTGCCCTGCTGCAGCTCCTCACACACCGTAGGGGCTGGAGTGGTCCTCTCCTCATCCTCATCCTCATCCAGGGAGAGCCTCCCACAGCTCTGTGCAGCTCTCTCTGGGAAGTTGTCCATTTCACATCTGTTGCAAAAACCACCACTTACTTTTTTTTCCCCCCCACCCCTCCACCCCCACCCCTCCACCCTTTTTTGTTTTGAATGTTCTTGTTATTTTTTTTATTTCCAGCTCTTCTGATATTTTCCAGATATTTACAGGAATGAAGGCAACAGAAATGGTATATTTCTGTCTCTCTCGAATTCCCTTTTTTTGGGGCTAAAAGGTAAAATTACATGTTTGTGTTCAGCTGATGGCTCCTAATTATTATTATTATTTGTTTTGCTTTCCTTTTCGCTTTTTAAACGAACGTACACCCCCCCCCCCCCCAAAAAAAAAAATGAAATGGTATATATAGTTCTGTCTTGCCCCCCCCAAAAAAAACTTCTTTTTTTAAGGTAAAATAAATGGGTGGAGGGTTTTTTTTTTCAGCTGATCTCTAATTTTTCGTTTCTTTTTTTTCTTTTTAATTATATTAATCGGACAACAACAACAAAAAAGGAAAAAAAAAGATGATGAAAGGGTATATTTTTTTCTTGCCCTCCCCTCCCCTCCCCCCTCCCCCCTCCCACCCGAATCACTTGGGTTTTAAGATTAAAATAAACTCCTGGTACTGAGAGCTGAAGTTACCTGGGCTGGAACTTGTGTGTGAGTGAGTGGGTGAGTGGCTCAAGTTTTACAGAGAGATGGGCTCTGCTGTGCAATGTGTCTGTGCACTTCGCACTGTGAGACCAAAGCTCTCACTCACATTCTCAATTCGGGCAAAACAGTTTTGTTCGGGTTCTTAACTCTCTATGGCAACAAGAATTAAATCAAATCTGGACCTGTGTCAACAACTCCCCCAGAAAGTCTGCAATCCTGAGCTTCTTCACCTGCACCACATCAGCAGGGTCACCAGCTACACATGTACATAATATATATATATACATATATATATACCCATAATTATGTAACTATATATACAAATATAGACACATATATAAAAACAACTCTGCATACGTATATATATTTTATTCTAAAACAAAGCTCGCGCTGTTGGCCCGTGGAGAGCCGCTTTGCGGAAGGCGCTGCTGTCTCTGAGATTCACTTTGCTTGCTGCTCAGTGAAGCTGGGAACGCAGGGTAGTTTATTTCTCTCTCCTTCAAGGCGTAAGATCCAGACAATTTTAGACTCGGTTGAATCAGGTACTTTGGGGTCGCTCCGCAATTAACCCCCCCATCCCGGTTGTGACATTGTAATTTCCATGGGTGGTTTTTGAATTAGAAAAAGACCAGTTATGATCAAACCGGTTTTAATTCGGAAACCTCTTACATTCATCACCACCGGGATTCTGAATGCTCTTCCCAGTTTTCAAAATATAAAATAAATGACACAAGAATGATCATAATCCACAGGCACGATTTATAGAGGGATAGAAAGTCATACAATCCACTGATGTGATGTAACTGAAAACCAGCCGCAGTAACTGCTGTCAATCCATCCTCACACTGACTGGGTTCCTGATCCGAAACAAAAACAGAAGTCACTGGGAACACTCAGCAGGTCAGGCAGCATCTATGGAGAAAGGAAAGTGAGTCAACGTTTCAGGTCCACGACCCTTGGCCAGAACTGGGGCATGTTGGGAGGGAGTGGTTTTTAAGGATACGTTGAGAGGGGGAGGCAGGGCAAAAAGACAAAGAAGACAAAAAAGAAAACAAAGGAGAGAATGTGTCAGTTGTGTTTGTTTGTCTTCTTTTTTGTTGACTCACTTTCCTTTCTCCACAGATGCTGCCTGACCTGCTGAGTGTTCCCAGCTCTCTCTGTTTTTGTTTCAGATTTCCAGCATCTGCAGTATTTTGTGTGTTGGGTTGGGTTCCTGATCTTGGTCACCAGCAGATTTCTATGGGCTGTTGGAGAGAAAGCGCTGATCAGGAGCCGAAAAGAACACATCTTCACCAAACAACAAAAATGCAGAAGTAAAAAATAAACAGTAGATTTATCTTTTAAAAGAAATACTAATGAACAGTTTACATTGTTTCAAACAAGGAAACAACAACGATCTCAAATTCCCCAGAGTTTATTAAACAGCACATTTGTTTTTATTTAAATTAACTATGAGGTATATTTAATTATATGCAAAAACACAGCCTGAGCACATTCTGCACCATTCCAATAGGTGTCAGGTGTTATATCCTTCAAATAACAGGAGATCCACCTGTTCTGAATCCTTGCGGCCTGTCATTTACCAGAGTACAGTATTTCCACATAGCTAATACTTGGGCAGGGCGAAACCTTGGGCAAGTTTCCTTACTCCACACAGAGCCTAATAATAATCCCTCCAAAACCAAAAACAATAATAAATTGGTCATTTTCAATCTACGACTGTTTGTGGGACATTGCTGTGCGCAATTGGCTGCCGCGTTCGCCCACAAATGTTGTCAATTCACTTTACAGTGTGTTCTGTGAAGCGCTTTGCGACGTCCTCCCGACGTGAAAAGCGCTATATCAAATGCAAGGATTATTATTATTATTTTGTTTCTAATAATTGATTCTGTTAGGAGGTCAGGTTAATAGATCTTAGTTACCAAATACGGCTCTGTCATTCTTCTTGAATATTGGACCTAATGTAAATTTGTTTACAGTCTGTTGTTTCCAATGTGCTATTGACCTTGCTTCAAAAGAACTCTCAATCTGCAAATTCAGAAATGCTGAATTCAAATATGCTAAATATGCTGTAGCATAGTTTGTCCTTCCTGGAGAATTAATTCACTGCAAATGACTTACAAAAATTGGGATATCAATCTGTTTAAATTCATTTTGCATAAAATTAATATACAATATAATTAGCGTTTTGGTAATCTATGACTGAATTGGCTCTAAGGGGACATTCCTTGCAAAACCTATGTAGCTCACTCGTGAGACTTGGAGGTGCAGAAATGTGATGTGGATCTGGCAAGCCACCAGATATGGTCTGAGGCTAAACAAGTCCCATGGATGAACAGGACTATTTAATATAATAATAATAAACTTTAGATTTGATACAGCGCCTTAGGAGACTGCTCAAAGCCATATCAAGAATGCAGTGCCTCTTAGTTTGTAGGCGAATGTGGTAGCTGATTTGTGCACAATAAGTAAAAAATCCTACTGTAGATTTACTGTAAATTAATGATTAATGACAGGGCAAACAGAGACCATTGGTTTCCTTGTGCTGCACAGGCACGTGCCCTCCTGCCTTTTCCTACATTCCATCTGAACCACGTGGGCGTGGCCGCAGAGCATTAGTGGTGGGTTGGGGGGGGTGGGTTGATTAACATTATTATTATTATTATTATTAGCTTTGCTTCACTGATGATAACAATAATAATCTATTATTATTATTATTAGCTTTGCTTCACTGATGATAACAATAATAATCTATTATTATTATTATCTTTGCTTCACTGATAACAATAATAATATATCATTATTATTATGCTTATGATACATTCACTGATGATAACAATAATAATATATCACTATATATATATTAGCTTTGCTTCACTGATGATAACAATAATAATATCATTATTATTACTACTACTACTACTGGAGGGGTGCAATTTGATTGAACCTTACTTTGCTTTTCCTCTTGGCCAGTTTCAGCACCTGGCCATCAGGGTGGGCGACTTCTGGCTGGCGTGGCCAGGGCTTGCCTTGGGCAACCTGTTTGCTGAGGCTCCTCCTGCCCTGCTGCAGCTCCTCACACACCGTAGGGGCTGGAGTGGTCCTCTCCTCATCCTCATCCTCATCCAGGGAGAGCCTCCCACAGCTCTGTGCAGCTCTCTCTGGGAAGTTGTCCATTTCACATCTGTTGCAAAAACCACCACTTACTTTTTTTTCCCCCCCCACCCCCACCCCCCCACCCCCACCCCTCCACCCTTTTTTGTTTTGAATGTTCTTGTTATTTTTTTTATTTCCAGCTCTTCTGATATTTTCCAGATATTTACAGGAATGAAGGCAACAGAAATGGTATATATCTCGAATTCCCTTTTTTTGGGGCTAAAAGGTAAAATTACATGTTTGTGTTCAGCTGATGGCTCCTAATTATTATTATTATTTGTTTTGCTTTCCTTTTCGCTTTTTAAACGAACGTACACCCCCCCCCCCCAAAAAAAAAAATGAAATGGTATATATAGTTCTGTCTTGCCCCCCCAAAAAAAACTTCTTTTTTTAAGGTAAAATAAATGGGTGGAGGGTTTTTTTTTTCAGCTGATCTCTAATTTTTCGTTTCTTTTTTTTCTTTTTAATTATATTAATCGACAACAACAAAAAAAAGGAAAAAAAAAGATGATGAAAGGGTATATTTTTTTCTTGCCCTCCCCTCCCTCCCCCCTCCCCCCTCCCACCCGAATCACTTGGGTTTTAAGATTAAAATAAACTCCTGGTACTGAGAGCTGAAGTTACCTGGGCTGGAACTTGTGTGTGAGTGAGTGGGTGAGTGGCTCAAGTTTTACAGAGAGATGGGCTCTGCTGTGCAATGTGTCTGTGCACTTCGCACTGTGAGACCAAAGCTCTCACTCACATTCTCAATTCGGGCAAAACGCTTCACAGAATATACTGTAAAGTGAATTGACTGTTTATTTTGTGAGCGAAACCTGGCAGCCAATTATGCACAGCAGTGTCCCACAAACCGTCATGGATTGAGTGACCATATTATTTTTTTTTATTGAAAGGATTATTACCTGCGGAAAAGCGATCTGCCAATCCCAGGTTCCTACTTACGGCTAGATAAACAGAGGTGTGTAGAATAAGGAAACTCCGAGGGTACAGTTATTTGTATATTAGACAGAATGCTACCAAATATATCACTAAATGCTTCACTTTGCCAGACATTCAACAGAACGTGATCAACCCATCAGAATCACATTTAAAAGAAGATTACTTGCACACCAAGCATTCGGTGCTGAAAGATAAACATCGCAATGTCCAAGAAAGTTTTGAGCGCTTACGTAAACTCATCCACCAAGGATATGATGAAAATAGTGGTACAGTTCTTTTCTTCGTTATAAGTCTTACATTACTGTTATCGTGGGTGATTAGGAACACCCTTTCATTCTGAGTGTTATCTATGGTTATATTTTACTTTGGTCAGAGTGGAAATCCTTGTCATATAATATTCGTTTTCAGTTATTTGAAGAACGATTGCTTTGCTATCGAGTGTGTCGTGAATAAAGGGTTTTGTAATTGGTTCAATTGCAGACTTGTTAATAAATAGCGGTAGTTCTGATAAATTGAATAGATTTTGCAAATATTTCTGTCAGACTATTGGTGTAAAATACTTCTTGAAAAGTAAAGCAGATGCAAATATGGGCTAGTTCCATCAGTATCAATATTTCCACATTTAGGTATTTATAAATAAGTTTGAAACCTAAATGTGATCAATTTTGAGCAACTTTGTATTTAAATGAATAACAGAAATTCTGTAAAAAGAACAAACTTTTTTTGTGTGGGAAAGTAGTCTAATCCTATTTTTATTTGCTCACTTTAAATGTCCAACTGTTTAAGTCAACATTGTGTGCTAATTAGAATTGCTTGCGCAGACGCACTTTAATTTAGGGCCGCATAGTGCTGGACGAAATAGGCCGGTTTTACAATAAAACCGCTTTTTAAAACTGCTACTATTTTGCCTTTGGGAAGCATGGTAGTGAAAAGCCCAGTGAGGCAATAAATAAACTATGAAAATGAATAACTGAATCAAAATATGAGCAGTTTTCTCATGCTGTATTTGTGCTTCGTTCCTTGAGTTAAATCCAAGTTTAATAACTTTGTTTTCTGACAGAATTTTTTGAGCCTAGAGTTCTCGAGCTGTGGGATATGGCAAAACGATCAAACTTCACTGAAGATGAACTGGATTCTATTAAGGTAAGTGAATTTATAATAACAATAATCCTTGCATATTGATATAGTGTCTCTGAGACGTCTCAAACAACAACAACAAGATTCCATTTATAGAGCATCTTTCATGTCGGGAGGACGTCCCAAGGCGCTGTACAGTTGCGTCAGGACCCGAGCGGGGGGAAATGGTCAGGGTGAGGGGAGGGAAGGGAGGGAGCGAGGAGGGAGTCGAGAGGGGAGGTGAAGGCACGGTTGAAGAGAAAGGTCTTGAGACCGGCCTTGAAGGAGGAAAGGGAGGAAGCGGCGAAGGCACTGGGGGATAGAGTTCCAGAGCCTCGGGGCTGAGAGGCTGAAGGCCCGGCCACCGATGGTAGGGCGGTTGGGGCGGGGGATGTGGAGCAGACCGGAGCCAGAGGAACGGAGGGTACGGGCAGGTAGGTAGGGGGATAGTAGGTCGGAGAGATTTATGGCCACACTATGAATATCATTGCTAGGTAGCTACTGGAAACTAGTATTGATTTAACAGAGACTTACCTAGACTAGTACAAATGTTTTATTGGACACTTCTTGATGCTCCCCTTGGGCTTTGGAGTCCACGTCTTGCCCCACATTCCCATCATCGCATCCTCACAAAGCCCTTCTGTCTCCCTCTCCGCAGTGCATAGACATGAAGATTCTCATTTTTAATTGCCCTTCTCCCCCCCCCCGAGGGCTTTGTCCATGTAATTTTCTTCAACCTTATGTTGCAGCTTCTATTCTCCACACCTGGTTTACATGCTCGTCTCCTCAGCTCTAACATCTGAACCTCTGAAATGCTTCCAAAACCACTTAATCTCACTTTCTCCGGACTTTTTAAATTCTTCTAAAGACTTGTCTCTAACCAATCTCTAGATTCCACTACTTAATGCTCAGTGACCATTGTTCAAACCTGCAAGTAACAGAAAATATTTTCGTAAAAAATGCAGTAACGTACTGTACCTTGTAGGTTGAGGGAGAAGACTGTGAGAACACCATGTGATCTAGAATTCGAATTCAAGATCCTCATCCTCACCTACAAGGCCATTCACGGCCTTGCTCCCTCCTACCACTCCGACCTACTAACCCCCTACCTACCTGCCTGTACCCTCCGTTCCTCTGGCTCCGGTCTGCTCCACATCCCCCGTCCTAACCGCCCAACCATCGGTGGTCGGGCCTTCAGCCTCTCAGCCCCGAGGCTCTGGAACTCTATCCCCCAGTGCCTTCGCCGCTTCCTCCCTTTCCTCCTTCAAGGCCGGTCTCAAGACCTTTCTCTTTGACCGTGCCTTCAGCTCCCCTCTCAACTCTCTACCCTCTCCTCGCCCCCTCCCTTCCCTCCCCTCACCCTGACCATTTCCCCCTCCTCGCCCCCTCCCTCCCCTCACCCTGACCATTTCCCCCCTGCTCGGGTCCTGACCCAACTTACAGGGCCTTGGCACGTCTTCCCAACGTGAAAGGCGCTCTATAAATGAAATCTTGTTGTAGAATGGCAAAAATTCATTCACTTTCAAATATGGTTGACTGTAGGAAGAGCTCAAACACTTTGAGACCAAGATTGAGAAGCACCAGCATTATCAGCAACAGCTGGATTTGTCCCATCAAAAACTCAAGCATGTGGAGAAAATGGGAGACAAGGAGCACTTGTCTCGCAACAAAGAAAAATATGCAATGCTGGCGGACAAAACAAAAGAATTAGGTTACAAGGTAAGTATCCTTGTCTTTTTGTTTAAAATATTAAATATGTATGTTTAAATTTCCAAAATTTTCAGCTGTTTTGATACAAAATGGATAACTAAGATCTATTTAACTTCTGCTATTAGATGTACACTGTAAACGTGTGGACTTCTAACCTTGAGGCATTTTCATCACAATCTGTAGCCTAGTCTTGTGCTGTTTAAGGTTACTATTAGTCGGACCCATGTACACTTTATTTTAGGAGGGAGATAGATAAGAAATCTTATTGATGGGTACTGTTTATTTCTACACTTAACTTTCTTATGCATCACAGCTGCAAACTGCTTTTGATAATTTTTTGAAAAGAAACCTGTAAAGCCTCTTTTGAAGTGTTATGTAAAGCTGATTGAGTGGTGAGATGTTTGTTAGCTGTGTAAGTCAAATTGTTTATAGCTGTTCTAATTCATGGCCATCCTTCGGATGAGTCATTAAACCCAGGTCCCATCTGCCTGTTCAGGTGGACGTTAAAGATCCAATTGCAATGTTCGGAAAGAGAAGGGAGTTTCTCCCGGTGTCCTGGCCAACAAATTACCCATATAGAATTGGTCACTCACTTCATGGCTGTTTGTGGGACATTGCTGTGCACAAATTGGCAGGCACATTTGCCCACAAAATACAGTATATTTATGGCTTCTGATATGAATCTCACTTAAAAAAATAACTTAGTATCAATTCTTCTGAATTCAGAACCCACTACTGGGTTATGATTTTTAAATAAATGGCCTGTCTACCCAATTCACTGCTGACTATTAACTTTTTTTTACTTTGTGTATCAGCTTGGCTCAGTACTTTTGCCTCTGGGTTCAGAATATTATGAGTTCAAGATCATACTTGAGCCAAACAGTCTAGGTAATAATCCCTCCACTATTTCAGGGGGATAGTGTTAATGTGTCAGTAATGTTATCTTTTACAAATTATTTTGTGGGCAAAAAATTAAATTAATTGTTTCCCACACAAAAAGCAGTCAGGCCACTTTACAATATATTTTCACTGAAGCTTTGAGATGTCTTAATAATATTCCAAGGAATATTATTATTTTGGCAGTCTATTTTGTCTTCATGTTGTCTGCTTAAAAGCACGCAATATTTCACTAAATGTGTCTTTTGTTTTCCTTTCTTTAGGTAAAGAAGCACTTTCAAGACTTAATGGGTCGACTGTCAAGAGGAGGGCTGAATCATAATGAGTTATGATTTACATAGAGCTTTTCTTATTACTATTCCATTCCCATCGTAGGACTATTTACCAAAGCCTAGCAATTGTAAATCAATGGTTTCTTCGTCTCCAATGTTTCTTGGAGTTTGGTAATGACTGGCCTCTTGTTGTACATACAGTAATTGAAGCCTTTTGGGTCAAGAGGTGATGACAGTGCTGTAGAACAGTGGATCAATAATGAACTAAGATTTTCTTGACTAATCAAAATGTCCAGTTACTCCTTTATATACTGATTATGTTTGTAACTTAAATTCAGAAATGACTATCTGATGGTAAAATGTCTTTTTACTAATGTTTTGATTATTGATAGGTGTGTTTGACCTGCTCCCATAAGGCACATATTTTATTTTAGTTTCATTGATTTGTTATACTGCCTCTAAACAGCAAAAGCAAAACTTGAATGTCACGTGCATAGTTGGTACATGTACAGAATGTACTGTTGTAGCATTCAGAAACATACCTCTATATCTAATTTGTAGAAGTGATGTAACAACCTGCTTCCTGTATCAAAAATAAAAGTTACACAACCAAATCATTCTTATTTATTTTTAAAAGTTACAAGAAACAGGTTAGACTGTGAACCAGAATATTCACTGAATCATTGAAAGAACAGTGCTGTGGAGAGGACACAAGTATAGTTTCACGTAGATCACTATGTTCAGTATTTACAAAGCTAGCCCTGGCCATGCCCCTCATCACATGTTGCCATTTCTAGAGGTACCATTTCACTCCCTTTTCTGTCCCTCAGTCACCTTTATCCATGCTGACACTATTGTTCACACCAGTCTTAGTCTTTACACTTTTCATGTGGCATAATTGCATATGCTTTTCCAAGTTTATTTGTGAAACATCAACTGGATTACCCTAAAATATATACTCAGTATTTTTCACAAACAATTACATAAATAGGATTTGTTGATTATCGCTTATTCCTCACCTTTTCATAATGTTTGCCCATCTGCTAAGATAAGGCCAGTTTAAGGGGTAATTCCTTTTTTTAAAAAAAGACTATACAAAAGTAACATTCAGACCATGTGTTAGGTTTAAATATTCTTATGGAAAATGGTAATTGTGTTAGAGATGGTACAAAAGTGTGACAAAAGAATAGTACACGCCCAACTACAGAAGAATTAAGGTTTTGATACGTTTAACCATGGTGATGGAGTTTCTGCATGTGTCAAGACACCTGGCTAACCAAATAAAGATAGCATTTACATGAGTAAAAAACAAATTCTGGCTTTGCTGGTTTTCAAACTGATGTTAAAGACTTGTTGGAATAAAAAGTCCATCACAAAATACAAAAATCTATTAATTTTACAGTTTAATCCAATTCTAGATCATGTAATTCTACAATTACACAGAATGATATGGCATGGAACATAGGAACAGGAGTAGGCTATTCAGCCCCTCAAGTCTGTTCTGCCATTCTATATGATCGTGGCTGATCTGTACCTCAACTCCAATTACCCATCCTGACCCCATATGCCTTTACCTAACAAATATAATGAGGATAACCATTCAGCCCAACTAGTCTGGGTGTTTGTACTGCACATGTGCCTCTATTCCCTTCTGATTTGTGTATGCATCAAGATTCTGCTTAAATATTTTGATGCTTTTGATTCAACCACAGCATCTGACAGTGAGTGCCATGTTCTCGGTCCCCTCTGCGTGAAGAAATTAACTAGGTGTCTAATGCACCATTCTACTACCAAAATACTAGTTTTAACTAAGCGTGCAGTGGAGAATTACATCACAATGAGGATGCTGAGCCGATGTGTTCAAGGTGTCACAATTGTTTCCATCAGGGTTTTTGTTAAGGTTTTATGAATTCAGTACACTCAGTAATCAATACATGTACTTCAACAACTGGAACAAATTACATTTGTATAGTGCCTTACACGATGAGACAGGCGCTGGACAGTCAAGGATTTGGACCTAAGCTGGGAGTTTGGATCGGGAGGGTTGGAGAGCAGCAGGGTAGGGATAGCAGGGTGACCGAAGGCATGGTCAAAGAGGAGGATCTTGAGGCAAGGGAGCGGGAAGAGGCAAAGGGACTGTGGGATGGAGTTCCAAAGGGTGGGGGCAGAAAGGCTGAAAGCCTGACCCCCTATGATGAGGCGGGCTGGGCAGGGCTGGAGCCTGCTGAGAGGAGTGAGCTGACAGGTCTGTATGGAGTTAGCAGGTCACTGAAGAGCAAGGCCGCAGAGGGCTTTGAAGACCAGGATGAGGATTTTGAACCTCTATCCGCTGAGGGATGGGGAGCCAGTGAAGTCAGACACGGTTGAGGGAGCTTGGTGCGGAAAGGACATGAGCTCCAGAAATTTTCCACCTTTATTTGCTGCCCAGAACAGGGTCTTTGTTATGTGCAGTGCAGTGTAATCGGTCTATATTGAGGTTGAGAACAATATCTAAACACACAAAGATTCAAGGGTACTGAGCTGGTTGGAAACAGGTTTGTGCTGCAGCTCCTGAAACCAACAGTGGTACCTACTGGTTGAATGGGGGAGAGCTAATTCCCACACTATTTAGGACTGGCTCCATTGCAGATCAGCAAACTGGATAATAGGATTTTAAGCAAAATACAAATTAGTTCCTGCTAAGAAAATTGTCTGATCAGGAGTTATACTATTCCTATAGCAGCCCCATGGCTACTTTCATGTCAGAGACCAATGGGGGATAAATAGACATGCAGAAAATAGCATTCTACCATATAGTGACATTGACAGAAGCTTATTAGCAGAATTTTATAATATCAATTATCCTTGCATTTGATATAGCGCCTTTTCACATCATTGAGATGTCTCCAAGTGCTTGACAGAATAAAGTGAATTGACTAATATTTTGTGGGAAATTTTAGGTTGTTCTCTAATTGGAAGGAGAAAATTGACAAAATGCAGGGAAGAGGGAAGAAAAATCCTGAAAACTTTACTTTAAAATTGCCTCACACACCTCCCAGTTTAGTATTCAAGTTGTTTTGTAAACACATTGTCACAAAGCTGGACGTGACATCATATTTTGCCTTGCCCAGAAAGTAGCCAAGCTGTTTCATTTCTCACACATCCCCTTTGGTGTCAAAACAGTGGTTCTTTTGCTTGTTGTCAAATCATAAAAAAAAATGTTTGATTGGAAAGAATACATTGAGACTGTTCTGAACGACAGTACCATTGAGGACATCGCAATCGTGGGATGCACACCAAAGAACAAGATAGTTTGGGCTTGCAAACCTGACGGGGTACTTGGCAATGTGACATCTGTGGAAGTGGAAGTGATCATCGACAAGGACAGGAAGTCAATTCTCCAAAATGGAATCACCATTGGTGGAAAGAAATATTCTGTTATCAGAGACAACATGATGCTAGAAAAAGATCCATCAATGGATATCAGAACACTTGGTGATGAGGGGAAGAGTATCTGTATTGGGAAATCATCCAAAGCATTGGTGTTCTTGATGGGTCACAAAGGAGTTCACGGAGGGGTTTTGAACAAGAAGATGCATGATATGGTTGATTTCTTAAATAAAAATGGCAGTATCTGATTACTGGCAGGATGAAAGCAGATGAACCCAAATCTTTTCATGTTTTTCCACTGAGAGAGGGTGAGTAGGGTTCATATTAGGTTCATTGTGAGATACTGGCAAAGGGTTCTGCCATGTGCTTTCACAGAATAATGAGCAAATTACAATAATCGACAGCAGGTACCCCATTAACCCTGAAACTCACTGTAAAATGCTGTGTCCATATCTGGACATGGTTGATAGCTTTAGAAATATTCATAGTCATGGTACAACAGCAGTATTAATACTCTTAAATGGTATGTGAACAAGTTTAAGTGGTATTTCAAATCAAAACATGAGCAAAAGCAACTTTGGGAAAGTGCATTACAATATTTAATATACAGTATTTAATATACAGTTCAGCAATGCTGCTATGAAGGTATTAACAGAAGCCATAAATGATCATAAGGCATTATACAGTAGAGGACCCAAAATCCACACTAAATGGGAGTGGTATCATTGCAAATATCAAAACAGTGTGGATAATTGGTCTCTATACTTATGTGTATTTATCTTTCTCCTCTCCCTCTCCATCTGTGGGTGTGCTTCAATAATCCTCCACTGTCAAGCACTCTGAGATGCTACCCTGCGTGGGGAGCGCTATATAAATGCAAGTTGTTGTTGTAGCTTATCCCTCTAATTATTAATTTACCTGAATTAGTCAGGTGGTCAGCAAAAATTAAATCATTTACCAAGGACAAGCCTGCATTTTCATGCCAAGGGAAGCAAACAATATGTTGTAGATCATATTTTATTAAGAAAACAAAACCTCAAAAGGCAAAGTATTCCTTCAGTTGGGTGTAATAAAATATTCCAGAATACTTTCCTCTGGTACACCCATTCTATTCAAGTTGATTGATACAATATGAAGTTCTTTTTTATTTGACTGCAATAGGTTTCTACAGAATGATATTTAGCAGAGACAAGTACACCAGAAATTTAACACATATCCTTCTGCAAGCCACAACACAGAGTACATTTAGGAAAAAATAAATTAGTGAACGCACCTTTAACAAAGATAACACAAACCAAAATGTATCACTCTGTCTTTAAAATTACATTTGCCAAACAAAAAATGATCTTACAAATAGACATTGCCACGTTTTTTTTATTGTCAGTGAACAGTTATTCCAAATCAATTAGTGCAGATCTCTCAGATGATGCTTTTCAGTAGAACTCCTTTGCTTGGAAAGGAGTCTGCATTCCTCTAGGGGATGGGTTTATGAGTGTCCCATGGTACAAATGGACATCCCCCACCCCACCCCACCCCCAACCACCCACCCCCAACAAAAGGGCATAGCCTTTCTATCTAAAAGCATTGACAAATTTAAGTTTGTTTGATGGCGTTTTAGTGCCTCTTTGAGTATAGATTGGATATCACACATGTAATGATATGTTTGATAGTATGTTTCACAGGTTTAGCAATGCTCAAGACTCGTGAGTTTCTCATGAGTGCCAGCATTAACTATAAAGCTCTTTCAATGAAACAACCCTCTTTATTTTGGGGTTTCTCCAGAGAGGATTAAACAATCTGATCCCAATGCAACTGAAGGACAGAAAGAAAGAGCACCATATTTTTACAGCTTCTTATCATGCTGAAATATCTCAAAGTACTTTACAGTAATGACTGTAAAGTGTATTATTTGTTTTTATAGGAAAATAAAGCAGCCATGTTGTGCACATGAGGGTCTGAAAAAGAGCCATGATACGAATGACCAATTTAATAGGGAGGAGAAATGGCCAGGCACTGGGAGAAACATTCGTCTCTTTTTGAATAGTGGAATAGGATCAGTAGCATCCACTTGAGAAGGCAACTTCAACAATGCAGCACACCCTCAATGCTGTACTGGAGGGCCACCAACAACAACTTGAATTTATATCGAGCTCGTCACATAGAATTTTATCTTTAGCCATCATGTACTGTGAGCTCAAGTCCTGATGTGGAGCATGAATCCACAAATTTATGATCTAGCTGTAAGACTGATACCAATGAGCCTAGCTTACACCTGGGAATTATTGTACATTTAGGAGTGATTTAAGATGTAATATATTAGTCCATCACACTTTGTCAGAGACACAAGGTCCAAATCCTATTGATTTCAGCCTTAGAACCATGAGAAGTTTGAAGCCTCTGGGTGTGATTATTAGGAGACATTATCCCAATCCAATTCTAGCCAACTTTGGAGAAAGTGCAAACATCCCAATTGCCAACTTAATCAAGTTTAATTGAACACCTTTTACAGGGAGTCTAATTGCATTAATAGTCTCCAACCATCTCTCAACCCTCATCACTGCAGACGAAATACTTCTGTACAATCTGCTCCTTAAGAGTTGGACCTTTTACAACAATAACTTATTTTTACCTTTTGATCTTGAAAGTATTCACTCGCAAGGTTTGCAATTTGTTTTTGTATCAAGACAAACAATACAAACATTCGCTGAGTATTTTGTGTGCCAGCTTGGTTCAGTGGTAGCACTCTCCTTGTTGATAATAAAAAAAGTTTTGCCTCACATCCCAGAACATATTAGTGGAGTAACCAAAGTTGAAATACTCATAGTTAAGTGTTTTACTCTCGAGCATGACTTCTGAAGCACAGTTCTTTAAAAGCTATATCAATTCTATAATACTGTAATATGCACAAGGCAGCATGTTCTCTCATCCCAAACTATTGAGTTATCAATAGCAAAGCCTGTACAGAGCAAAAATAGACACATAAGTTAACATGAATCATTTTGAAGTTATTACAAAATGAAGAGAATGTCTAAAATTCAAATGAAACAAACTTTTACTTTGCTTATTGAAGATTTAATCTCTCCCTCCAGCCTCCTCCACCTATTCCCACATTGTGGACTAGAAATCCAGCCTTTTTTCCATAAACTACAGCAAAGTAAACCTCTCTGACCGTGTTTTTCCGGCACCGAGTCATGTCTTAAACTTCAAACACTTTTCAAAAGTAAAAATGGATGTAAACATATTCCTCTGTGTGTGCTTCTGTAAAAAAAAATGAACTGATTCTCTATAGTTGCCACTTGTTGTGATTGCGTTGTAAATATCCCTAAGTCAGGGTGGTCCAACTGGTGGCCCGGGGGCCGCATCCGGCCCGGGGGATGATTTTATTTGGCCCGTGAACCATTCCCAACTTTGTTTTCCGACAAGCAAATACAAGCGACGTGGAAGTGTTGAGCCGATCAGGAGACAGTCACCGGGGTCTCAGGTTCTGCCTTGCAATGGGGACTGGCCAATCCGGATAAAATATTGCTTATGTGACCCACGGATGTTTCTCAAACTGGCCTCCAGCCCTCAGCAGCCAAAAGGTAGGACCACCCTGATCTAAGGGATTGACTTCAGGAAATTGCCCCATTTTGAACTGAGCCCCAGGATTCTGATCTGACTACGAGCTGTTCGAACAGAGTTCTTTCTGCTAACAGCATGGAGGAAATCTAGATCAGCCACAGTCCTGCCCAAGTCTAAGCAAGAGATGAATGTCTCACACCACATTGCTAAACAAGGTAATGCCCTGCTAAACAAGGTAATAGCTGAGATGCAGCTATGGGCAGCAGAATTCTTGCCTGTAGAAAATTAATTAAAAAGCTACTTTAAGAAAATCTCACTATGTAAAACATTCAAAACAAACCTTCAGGATATTAAAAATTCAACACAAGTATCTCAAAACGAGTCTACCTGTACAGTAATAAATATCAGTAATAAATATTAATTCCTCATCATAAACCTAATTCTTTAATCTTCCATGTATAAAGATTGACTACATCTGCGTTCTAGGCGCTTTTTATTACTTAATAAGAATATATTTTTATTCTTATTTTTGTGCGAGTTTTGCCCACAAAATATACAGTCAATTCACTTTTCCGTGTATTCTATGAAGCGCTTTAAGATGTCTCAAATACATGATAAGACGCTATATCAAATCCAAGGATTATTATTATTATTAATTGTGCATTGTTCATCTGCCCCCTGCTGACCAGGGAGGCAAGAAAACACTACATAGGAAGCATCATTGTACAAGTCTGTTAGAGCTGAACCTCATATCTAGCAGCTTTTTCAATTCAGCAGACAAAGGCTTGGCGAATGTGAAATGATCAACTTAAATCTCTAATCTATCTTTAGTCACCATTAAAAGCTTAAATATGACTTTAAAAGAAGTAGTTAGGTGTTGGGTTCACAAAGTGACAATAAACCTTACTCCCTAACTGCTGGTTCCCAACGAGGCACAGATTAGTCCCTATTGATATGACATTGCAAGAGAGGGCAACAGAACCATTACACATTAAGATTACAGCAGTAAACCTGAACCAGAAATGAGGTTGAATAATATATAAATAAATACAATATAAATACACATAACAATAATTAATCCAAGGGGGGGTGGGGGGGGGAAATCTTTCCGTCAAAGCTCCTCTTGCAGTTTTTTTGTTCTTTTCTTGAATTTCCTTTTGGTTTATAATTGTGAACGATTTGTCACAAATGTCAAAAAGACATCTGTGCTTTCTATTGAATCGGCAGGACTTACTGGTAAAAGAAATAGACCTTAAGACCCTGATAGGCAGTAACTGGTATAAATAACTGTGCAATAATGCAAACATGTTTTGAACTGAATTTTAAACCTTAAAAAAAAGCACAGTTAACTTCTCAAAATTGCTAAACTTGCGCTACAACTGACTATATATTGCATTGCAAAATAAGGCATTCTCTTACACAAAATAATGTGTAAATTGTTGTCTGAATTTAAGAACAGTAACTAAAAATACGGAAGATGATTTGTTGTACTTATTGGGATCAGCTCACTGGTGATTTTAGCATCACCATAAGTAACATTCGGCATTGATATTGCAACCAAATCTAAGATAAAAAATTAAACTGCCCGAATTTCTAAAAAAAAAGTCAAGCTCTATGCAAGTTGGAGGAAGAACAATATACATTAAACTGAAAAACGATTTACATAACTATAGTTGTAATGTGAAACAAGTGGCATTCTGGGCTGCTTAACAGAAGATGAAGCCTTGGCTCTTGCCCACCTGCACCAAATGCTTTCCGGAATTAGGCAAACAGGATGTGTCCCTCCAGGGGGAGAGAGCGCGTTCCATTCCAACACTCTATCCCTGGGATTTCCATGTGTAGGTGGGATGCAGGGAAATCTCAGTTTGGTTTGGAGATCTTAAGCATGGGGATGGGTTTCTGCAGGTGTCAAGACACCCGGCTGACCACAAACAAATAACAGAAGATGACTCTTCCCAGTCTTACTTCCAGAGCTATTAAAAATCCATCAGCAGCTGAACGGCAGTGCAGGAGTGTGGCAGCACCACAGCTGACAGCGAACACTCCATTAACAGAACACCTCAACATCAGAAGAGAATTGAGTCGGTTCCCCAGCACCAGTTACACATCTGGGACTCTGAATTCAGTGCTGTGCCTGTCAAAACCCTGACGTGCTCCCTTACATGATGTGCCAAGCTCAGCGAGAGTGCTGGCCACAGGGAGAAAAGGCAGAGGATGGCAGAGATCCACTGTGCTCTGCTATATTGGTGACTCTGCAGATTTCCATCTCACTCCACTGATGTGGATTTTTGACCCATGGCCCCCAGAGACAAAAAGAAACAGACTACAGTCTGCGTCTCCTGTCCCTAGCCATCACATCACCCTAGTTGCTGACGTTGAATGACCTAAACGGCAGCTTGAAGATTGAGTATTGTAAAGACTTAATATATTCATTGCAGTCAATATGCTGCACAAAATACATTGCTCTGAATAGTCCATTGTAGTGGAGAGAGAGCACTGTACTCAAAAAGCAACATCAGAATGGTAGTTGGACAGCCACCTGCCCTCAGTATCGACACCCATTCTGACCCTGGGTAATCTTAAGTACTGAATGAATGAAAGAAAACAAAGCGGTCTCTATATCTGGCAACATCGCTGGATCACTGCAGCGCTCCTTTCCGCTTCTGTTCCAGCTCCTGTAACCGCTCCTCACGATTCTGAGCGTGCTGTGTTCCCACCTTGTGTGCTGTTTCTGTGGCTGTGATATCAATCTGGGCATATTTGGATGAACTTGCTCCTGTGTCAAATAGATAAGCATCATGAGTAAATGAAGAAATGGGAATTTAAGAAAAACACACCTGGAACAGAATAGCAGGAAGCATGATTGAGGACAAAATATCAATACTGAGATAGTTAGCCAGACCCGGCCCAAAATCTAAAGATTAAATTACTATGAACAAAGATTTCTGCTGGCCGTGTGCAGAATCCTACTGACCCAACTCTCCTCGTGGCTGCCAACACAGCGCTGGCAGCCTCACCGTGATCGCTGGCCTTCACTGTGACCAGGGATATCGACCTTGATACAGATTGAATCCAGTGAGCAGAAAATAGATCAGTTGCTATCTTCTGCTTGTGGGATTCAAACAATTACAACATTAGTTGTGGCATTTACAAGCATTTTTGAAACACACACTAAATTATAATTACACTTAGCTGAACATTGTGGTTTATCAGACCGGCTAGCCTGAGCTTAAGTGTAGTTGCATTGAGATAGATGTATTGAAACAGTGATAATGTACTGAGACAGCGATATTCAGCGTGATACTGAGACAGGGATGTACAGATAGCTGTACTGAGATAGCTGTATTGAGATTTGTAATCCTTGCATTTGATATAGAGCCTTATCACGTCGTTGAGACATCTCAAAGCTCTCATAGGATATATTGTAAAGTGAATTAACTGTGTATTTTGTGGGTGAAACGTGGCAGCTAATTGCGCACAGCAGTGTCCCACAAACAGTCATGGATTGAGTAACCAATTTCTTTTTGAGGGATTATTACCCTGGGAAAACGATTCACCAATCGGCTTCAACCAGGTTCCCACTTACTGCTTGGTAAACTGGCCTGAGGTTTCGCCCTGGCCAGAAATCAAACCCAGGTCCTCTCGATTTCGAAGCTTGAGAGATTGAATTGTAAACCTTATACTTACCTTTGTCTCCCGCTCCCCTCCCTCACCGGAGACACTTGCATCTAAAGATGTGAGGGGAGCAAGTGTTTGTAACATGACTGTCTGTAAAAGCAACTTTAAATATAGTCATATTGAGCGAGTGATATTAAGAGACACGTCTATTGAGTTGTATCGAGACAGAGAAATTGCTAATTGTATTGAGATAGTTGCATTGGACAAAAAGCTAAAGGCAGTAATAAACTCCTTTAACTTTGATGAAGAATTGTGATGTGCTACTCAGTTTGTTGTGTTACCTCGAATTGCAGGGCTGGGTTCCTGGAGCTCTAGTTCCATGTAATGCAATTGTTTCTTTGACGCTGGGCTGACTGGGATATTCACATAAGTGACTCCTTCACAGCGAGGTCTATCTGCCACTGGAGCTTCAGCTGGATAAACAAACACTCCTCCTAGTGGGAGAGAGAAGATTTACAGAAAGTAATCATAATCAGCAGTTTTCTTTTCACTTTCCCTACCTAGCAAGATATAATAATTTTCATATAACAATAATCACATTTGGGATAATCCCTTTCATGAAGGGAAAAGGGATGTCTGGAAGTGAAACAAAAACAGAAGTCGCTGGGAACACTCAGCAGGTCAGGCAGCATCTATGGAGAAAATGGGGTAGAGAACAGGGGATGATGGGTTACAGCCCTCTGGCCTCAATATTGATTTTGAAAATTTCAGACCATAACAGCTCACCTTCCCCCTCCCCCTCTTCTGTGACCATTACCACATCACCTGGGTCGCAGACACACTTTTTTATTCTCTGGTCTGCCTACTTTGTTGCAGAGGAAGTGGTCGGGTGGGTGGGTTGGTTAGTTACCAAGACCTGAACTATGTGACAAGGTTAGTCACAAGTTTTGCTGAAAAGGAACATTTGGTGCTATTTATTCAAACAAGTCAATTTCAAAACAAGTTGTTTTAATAACAACTTTTAACAGAGAAGTAGATAATTATTTGGGGAGGACACGTTTGCAGGGCTATGGGGAGAGAGCCGGGTAGTGGGAATGATTTGGGTAGCTCTTTTCAAAAGCCGACACAGACACGATGGGCCAAATAGCCTCCTTCTGTGCTGTATAATTCTATGATTCTATGATACTAAGTCAAGCACGTGCGTTTCAAGGTGTTTACCAGATAATTTCTTTGTTTCAATGCTGCCTGAAGATTCGTCTTCTGAAAGAAGAAAGCCTTTCTCCTGTGAAGGCCAAGGTCAAAACATCAGTTGCAGAACAAGACAAATTGGATTGTAAATATGAATTGTAACGATTCTGCTAAAATCACATGTATTTATTTCCTCTCCAATAGATTTTCCTCCAATTTTTTCCCCTCTCCAAAAGATATTTGACTTTTTTCCTGCTAATGAGACACAGCTCCCCAGAATCCCCTCATCCACATTTACCTCACCTAAATGGTCATGATTCATGTGTGAACCTTGAGTGCAAATATTGCTGCTTAGTTGACAGTGGGGGGACATCACGCCCAAGCCAATGTTGTTCTTCCTTCTAGCTGGGGATTCTCAATAATTTACCTTCTGGAAAGATTCCTGCTGCTTTTTCCAGCTAGGACGACCCTAGGACTATGGCTTGCAAGGTTAATAGGAGCTGAGTGGATGACTCCCTGCCCCCAGTGACTGGTCTGCCCCTTCCAGGTCCTGCTGTTGAGCCAGGCCGGGCTGTGCTGTCATCAGCAGTGCCCTGGAATACTGCGGCCCCACCTGGCTCAGGAACCAGACTAGAGACTGTCACAGAGGATTGGCTCCGTTCTATCTTTCCATTGACAAGCATGTCACCTTGGAACCAGTTCAGCTCAAAGGAGACCCCGCTTATCTCCCTCCACCCAAGCAGGATAGGCCATACTGATAGAAAGTGGGAACCCTGATTGGTTTTCTCAGTTTCTCAGAAATACTGAGTGCAACTGCAGCACCAAGTTCTGGGTGGGATCAGCTAATATGCAGAGATTGTAACCCGCGAACTTCTACTGAACAGCCTAGTGAGGCACTTGGAGCCAAGATTGTACCTTTACCCACTGGGGCACCAGAAGAGATCAATCCATGGACCACATCTTCTGTCGTGACACTTCTTATGTCCACAAACCCCACCCCCAGCACCACAATGAACAAAGCATTAAAATGTAAACATATAGTGTTTAAATCTGTGTTCTTTTAGGTTATTTGCCAGCTGGGACTTTTTACTACAGAATTTACGGTGAAGTTACCTTTTTTGGTTTAAGACCCATGACGTCCAGATGTGTCCCTTGCCCTTTATGGAGCTTTAAGCTGCCAGTTGGACCTGTTGCCAGAAACATCAAAACAATGATTTACACTGAAATTCTATATTATATTATTAGAATAGCCACATATATTATACTGTGATAGTGAGTGAACCTTACCTTCTCCCTCTAACAATAGCTTCTGGTGTCCACAGCTGGCCATATATTCATATCCACTGCCTTTCTCTACCTGTAAGTCAAAGGTGAATCGATTGGTGAGACAATGTATAAGATACTCTCTGCTTGGCGATTTTTAAGAAAAGTTACAGAATAATATATTTTACAAAGACTTCAGTGAATACAATGAATGCATTCCTCTCATGTATCATAAATACATTTGAGCCATATCTACAACTTACAAAAGATAAGAACAAGTGTACAGAACCAGAAAAGACTATTGCAGGCTATCTGTCTGGTCCCAGGATAAATCAACTATTTATCAATAAAATCCCAAAGAATAGGGTGGTCCCTCCTGGGCAAACGACAGGATGTTTGCTAGTCTGTGTTCTTATTACCATTACATGTGGTTTTATAGCTGATTCAACTCCAGCCGTACCTCAACATACACTCTGGGGTCCCTGAGCCTTGGCTCTTGCCAACCAGCAGCTAATCTTTCTGGGATTAGGTGAGCAGGGTGCGTTCTTTCTGAAATGTGTTCTCCATTGCATAATGTGATATTTCCATACATGTGCGGAACTCTTATCAGTTTGGATTGGATACTTTGAGGTATGGTGATTAGCTTCCAAGTACACCAGACACCCATCTGACCAAAAGAAATGCAAGCTGCAATCTACAGGCATTTAAAATCAAATCAAAGCTTATAATATATGACTGCTCTTTACATTGCCCCTTCTCCTGCAATTTCTCTTTGGTGTTATCTGAATGTTTTTCCTATTGAGATTTCTCACCTCAGCTTGTTTATCTGTTGCCAGAGCCTCCATAAACTCGTACGTCTGTCCTGTTCCTGTCTTGTGCCTTTCCTCCTTTTTCTTTGGCTTCTTATCTGAAGCAGAGCACACACACAATTGCTATGCATGTTTCAAGATACGACATGTCTGGTTGACAGTTAGAATGTTTGCTGTCAAAGGAAATGGCTCCACTCTCTGTTTTTGGCCTTGTGATCAGCAGCAGAATGTTTGAAATGTCTCATTATCGACTGTAACCTAAATTAGTTCCTGACAACCTTTAAACTGGTGGGGGTGAGAGAGCGACAGGGGTGGGGGTGTGGGGGGAGGGATGCAAGAAGATTCTTAGATGAAAAGATTTAGTGAAGTCAACAGTAAATATTATTCTTATGTTCTAAATGAATCACAATGTGAGTGCAATAGAGATGTGTGAAGATTATTACACTTGTAACAATTGCACACAAGGAAAAAATGAGGCACAGTGAAGTTTTAAGAGATTTGTTCTTTATTTATTGTTCAGTTATCCAACTAGATAATAAACTGAGACAAAGAGAAAGATAACACAAACGTGGAGAGCAGGAAGAAGAATTCTGAGAATCTATGGTTCATAAAAAAAATCAGTGAGCAGGAGAGTTAAGGAACAGAGTCAATAATAATAATAATCCTTTCATTTGATGTAGCACTTTATCACGTCATTGAGATGTCTCAAAACGCTTCACAGAATATTTTGTAAAGTGAATTGACTATATTTTGTGAACCAAACGCAGCAGCCAATTGTGCACAGCAGTGTCCCACAAATAGTCGTGGATTGAGTGACCAAATTATTATTATTTTTATTTAAAAACTCAGTTAGAACATAGTTAGCAATAGATAACAATAACTAATGTCACAATGTATTGTTTTCCAGGGAATATAAGAAAGTGCAGAATGAGCAAAGCCTAATCAACCCATTGAGTCTGTTTCTTCTATGGACCATGTACAAATATACTCTATGTTGGGCTTCAACTCATCGTGTGGAAAGTCCTACACATATACTGTCTCACCCAAAAGCTTGACCACATATTCAGTGTCAATATATTCATCCATCTGACGATTTCACTCTTCATCTCCAGCCTGGTTCCTTCCACATACAACATTCTCCCCTCTCCCAAACCTAAGGACCACAGAACCCACAGAGTCTCTGGAATTACTTGTCCTCTGTTTCTGGTCTGAAATCTTTTTACTTACCATTTGCCTACATTACAATATAAAGCAGAACACTGGGATTTAATCTGCTGGTGAGTGTTAGTGGAGAAGCAATGGTCCAGGTGAGACTATCTCATTCCTCACCTGGGAAACAATACATTGTGACATTGGACAAAGGTGATGTGTGCCATAATAATGGAGGAAATAATTTTTTAAAAATTTGCAAATTCACCTCTTTATAAGAAACAAAATACTTATCTTACCATCACTATCTTCATCCAATTCCTTGCTGTCCCAGACCTCTCCTTACCACTGGGTGCCTCAAATCAAATGAGACCACTCTGTAGTCTGTAGCCATTCTCTCCCTTTTCCTTGTTCGACCATGTTTAGAATCTGGAGATGCTTACAGTTCAGTGCAGAATATGTTTGCTGTTTTACTGCCAGAGATATTTGCCCTAGTGCATTTTATTTTAAAATCCCTGATTGTCCAGCGCCTTGGGACATCTTCCTGACGTGAAAGGCGCTATACAAATGTAATTATGTATCTCCATTTCTTCTTGCCACAGAAAACCTTCTGCAAGTTCAAACTGAGTTTCCGAGCTGCGGCACAGAAGAAGACGATTCAGCCCATTGTGCCTGTGCAGGCTCTTTGAAAGAGCTATCCAACCAGTTCCACTCACTCTTAACCCATAGCCTTGCAAATTATTTTTCTTTTTAAGTAACTATCCAATTCCCTTTTGAAACCTGCTATCAAAACTGCTTCCACCACCTTTTCAGACAGTGAATTCCAGACTGTAACAATGATCTCTAACAGTAGTATAACCACACATGTCTATGCTGTGAAGCTCAAACTGCTTCCTTTACCTGTAGGATCATAAATGGCTGCTTCACTTGACCTGGGGAATGTCTGAGCCTTTCCAATAACAACAGATAACTTTTTTGGAGAGTTGACTTTGTAAATAGCTTTTGCGTCCTCAATGTTCCAGTGGCTTCGGAATTTACCTTCATGGTTTTTGAAACTCAGTGTCTTTTTGCCTCCTGCACAAAAGCTTTAGACTTTACTGCTGCAAATATGGGCTCATACATTGATGTGCTATTGCCTTCTGGGTATCGCTGTCCTTTGTTTTCTGTCTGTTCTGGTGTGTCTATGTCCTTTACAGTGGCTTTCGGGCTTCTCTGGCAATTGAATATAACCAGACAGTTTGCTTAGAGCTACAGAAATCTCACCGACTATTGTTAGAGATCCTGGTTTTGACACAAGAGCTGTTGCTGTCAGTGGATTCTCTCTCTTCAGTCACACCAGTGTACATGGCATTGAGACGTGCACTTTTGGCCTCCAACTTGGCTTTACATGCATCCTTAGCACATCTGTCTGGCTCACTATTAAGTGCAGCATTGTTCTGGGCTGCTCTTCGAAGGTTGCATAATTCAGTGATTTGGTCAACGAGCAAAGCTTTTCACTTCAAGCCTCCTCTTTGTTTGCACTGAGAGTTCCTGCTCTTTGTGGTACAAAATAGCCATAAACATTTTACACAGCAAATCACTTGCACCCTCTTTTCGAAAATAAAAGGACAAAAAAGAAATCCCTCTGGAAATGAAAAACGCAAATGGATGGTTACGGTGTCTATACCAATAATTCCTCATTTTAATGTAAGCGCATGGATCCATTAGCAGTCAAGTGACTCCACACAACTTGAAGGAAATTCTTGACTTATTGATAAGAACCAAGTATTCTTTCTTGTGCTTCTAACAAGATGATCACCAGATCTAGAAATGGGATGTAAGAGGTTTACTGTTCAGTCTGAGGGGCTACTTTGTGTCGAAATAGAGGATCTGCTGCTGTTCTTTTCCAGAAGAGAAGCTGGTGTTTGCTCAATAAATCAACTAGATAAATGACTTCTTTCAGAAGTTCAGAATAATATGAAGATGGATGAATGATCATTCCTTTTTCCCCTCCCTCTGCCCCCCGAAAAAGTCTATCAAATATGAATTGGTAGGTTTGTGTGTGTTGTAATTTGATTTTTTTGTTCAGAGAACGACTTATCAATATGTGAATATGTGAATGGCTTCTTAAAGCTGTTCATAGGATGTGGAATGCCTTGGCGGGTGCAGTGATCCAAGGCAGGATCCACATTAGCTTTCAAGAAGGAACCAGATCGATATCTATAATGGAACAAAATTGCAAGAGTATGGGAGAAAAGGCAGGTAAATGGAACTGAATGGATTGCTCTTTCAATGAGTGCAGCAAGGACACAACAGGCCAAAAGGTACTATTCGGTGCTATAAATTTCTCCGATTCTATGATTCGAAGTGTGGCGTAGACAGTTTCTCAGTGTTAAAGAAAGAGGAAGATCAGCTAAGAGCTGCACAACTTACTGCACACAGAACTTAGTTTTGTCTAAGAAATCGATAATTATGAAGGATGCCATAGCAGAAAATAAAGTTTTACTTAAAGGAAGTCGTTCCCTTCATTGACTGCTTCCCAATCCATCTTTATTATCCTTTATACAGTAGAAGGTTGCATGTTTATGCCATAACGTATGAATTCTAAATCAACCCTGGGCTTAAAGCCGTCCAAAATAACGGAAATTACAAAACAAACTAATGGCGGTTAATAAGTCCAATTGAGGTTATTACGCTGATAACAGTAATTTCTTTATGTCACAAACAAGGCAGAATTTCACCAGGATATTAAGACTGGTTACTTTATTTTACTCTCCAAATTCCTTCATTAATACTACTAAATTTATGATGGAATTTCAGGTCCATAATGTTATACAGCACATGATCAAGTTCACTTGTGCACCAGTTACGCAAAGACTTTGTCTTGGTTTGACGGGATTTCTGCATTGAATAATATAATTTACATTAATATAGAGGCTTTTGTGTCAGGAGGATGTCTCAAAATGCTTGAGAATGCTGGCTGGGGGTGGGAGACGAGGAGGTGGGGAGGGTAAAGATGACCGAAAGTGTGGTCAAAGGCGTATGTTTTAAGATATGCCTTGAACAAATGAAAGGAGAGACTTCGGGAGGGAGCGAAAAAATGCAGTTTAATAGCGTTGTAAAGATTACAAATTCAGCCCATGGAACATGATAATGATAATAATAATCATCTTTGCATTTGATATAGCGCCTTATCACGTCTTTGAGACGTCTCAAAGAGCCTCACAAAATATATTGTAAAGTGAATTGACTGTATATTTTGTGGGCGAAATCAGAGCTGATACGATGTGTGAGCAACACAACAAAGTATCCTCTGACCTCCAAATTCCCATCTGATGATGAATGTCTGTTGCAGTAAACATGCTTTACTGTTCATTCAGCTGCATATTCCAGATTCTCCTTCAGTTTCAACAATGAGGTCAAACATGTACCATTCAGAACCGTAATTCTCCAAGGATGATGAATATCAAATCCTGCCAGAAGCCTGATGAATGTCCCTCAATTCATGTTCAGGAGTTCCTCCCAATATTCTGGCCAACAATCTCCCTACCCATTGAAAAAAATGGGATTATTACTTCACTAATCTGCTCACTCCCTCCACTCGATGGCCACAGGCCTGTGCATGACCCCCCACACTGCCCAACCCACCATCAGTGGTCAGGTCTTCATCCTCTCTGACCCCACCTTCTGGAACTCGATCCCAGAGGGCCTCGCTCTCTCCCTTGCCTCCTTCAAGGCCCACCTCAAGACCTTCCTCTTTGACCATGCCTTCAGTCATCCACCCACCCCCCCCACCCTCCTTGCCCCCCACACCTCTTCATTTCAGCCCCCAGCTCAGGTCCAATCCCTCAACTGCCCAGCGCCTTTGGATGTCCTTCAGATGTGAAAGGCACTATATATATATAATTTGTTGCTGTTGTTGTTATTATAAGTCCCTTTTGGCAAACACAGAAATAGATCATATTGGAGTGACAAGTTGATGTGGTGCCAGTTACTATCAAGATTTGATGTTTATGATCATTTGCAAATCCAGGTGGTAACGTCTGTATTTTCACCTCCTCCCAATACACCACTAATCTATCAGTGGACAATACCTGAAACATAATAAGAAAGTTCTTGACTTTGCTCAGCTTACCTGGTACAGTTGGGGTGGATGAGGCTCCTCCTGGACTTGAGATTGTTGTTCCCTTTTACAAAAGAGACAGAGACACAGAATCATTTGATGGATTAATTTACAAAACTGGAGCATTGAAACAGAACAAGGTCAGGTTAATTAGGATGAGGAAATTTGATTCAGAATAAATTTTCCTTTTGGAAAATGAAAGTAACATGCATCACTAAAAAAAACAGAAACCATTACTTTGCACAGAATAGGTACTCAGTGTGTCACAGGCTGACCTCCTGGAACTCCGCTCCAATGATGGTTAACGCTCATCAGCTCCCAGTGTCAGGATCCTCCTTCGGCTGCAATCATCTTCACGCGGGTTTTAACAGAGATCGATGCCAGAGCGGAGTTCCAAGGTCCAGCTAAGTACATGGGAGGGTGGGGGGGTGGATAGGGGAGGTGAGGGGGGGCCGGCAATGCTTGCGAACCAGCCTCCAAATTTAAGTCTGAGTTTGGTTTCTATATAATACTAGCATTAAATTTATCACATCATCCGAACCATATCAAAGCCTTCACACAATATATTGTAAAGTGATTTAACTGTGTGTATTTTGCACGAACGCATAGCCCAATTTGCACACAGCAACATCACACAAACAGCCATGGAATGACCAAGGAAATCCCTTGGATTTCAGGAAACTGGGAGAGAGAAAATTTCCTTCTTTTTTTGAATTGTGCCATGGGATCTTTAATGTCCATCCAAACAGGCACTGACAGAGAATTTGGTTTAGCGTCTCATCCAAAGGACAGCTCCTCCAACAAAGCAACACTCCCCAGCATTGCATTGGAGGGTCAGCATAGAATATGTGGGTTACATCTTAGGGCAACAGGAATTTTGGTACAAAGAATGAGTTATCGCTACCAAGAAAGCTTACACTTCAAAGCACTGTGCAGCAGCGCATTATAATATTGAAGTAATCAGTTCTCAAGTCTCCATTTTTTAAAATCTCTCACAATCTTAACTTTTAATACAAAATGGTCATAATAATAATAATCCCTGCATTTGATATAGCGTTTTAATCACATCGTTGAGACATCTCAAAGCGCTTCACAGAATATACTGTACAGTGAATTGACTGTATTTTGTGGACGAAACGCAGCAGCCAATTGCAAATAGCAGTGTCCCACAAACAGTCGTGGATTAAGTGACCAAACTATTATAATTTTTAAAATGTATTTATTTATTTGTTTGCTTTTTGAAGGGATTATTACCCCGAGAAAGCGATCCGTCAATTGACAACTGGGTTCCTACTTACTGCCAGGTAAACAGAGGCATGTGGAGTAAGGAAATTTGCCTGAAACCTGCCAAGAAATTGAACCCAAGTCCTCTCGCTTGCACGGCAAGTGCTCTAACCAGTACACGACACGACTAGACTTACTGGCTCAGATACCTGGAATCTTGGAGTTCCGGGTGTCAGACTACCCCCTTCCATCTTGTGAGCATAAGGATGAGATTAAATAGATTGAAGAACGTCCCTCCCCCTGGTTCGGAGTCATGCTCCATCACTCTGAGACTCTACCCTACATGAAGAGTGATATATAAATGCAAGTTGTGTTTTTGTTGTTGTATCCCATTCAATAATGAGACAAATTGTACTGTATTTCAGTTTGCATTACATGCAACAAGTGTGCTTTATGTCAAAGTCACAGCAATGCAATGAAATCCTTGACAGGACATGTCCTCTGTTTTGTTCTGAGCTTCACATTCCCTGTAACTCAATCCCTTGGCTTTCCTTGTACCCCAAAATAGATCACCATCTGAACAAGGATCAATACTAATTTGGTTTCTATATGTTAGATATCTGTAGGTCAGCAGGAATTTTGGCACAAAGAATGAGTTATCACTACCAAGAAAACTTAAACTTCAAAGCATGGCCCCAGCAGGACATCATATCACTGAAATAATCAGTTGTCCCATCTCTAGTTTCCTATTGCAGTGCAAGCCTTTGATAGATTGTTGTGTAATCTGACAACATTTTGTTGGAAGGCTGTCTCAGTTCTAAAGAATGAAATAAACATTCACATAGCGACTCAAACACAAGCACAATATGCTCACGGCAAACCGCGAACAGCAAACAGGTGGAAAGGACAGCATCTGCAAATCATGAGTTACTGCGCTAAATGTGACTTTGGTTTGCACCAGATATTGCCAGATTTTCCATCAATCGATGGAAACTCTGCTCACACACCCAGCAAAGACTGTGTTGCAGCTGCCGTTTTGCTTTTCCCGATCTTTACAGACCATTTCCATAGCTGAGAAACTTCACAAAAAGCAAAGAGAGAAAACACAATGTTTTTCTGTTTCCAAAGAAAAGGCCTCAAAAAAGAAAAGCTTGTAACGCAAAATGCCGGCAGCAAACAGCCTTCAGAGTCCTTAGGGTACTGATTAGAACACTTGTCTCAAAGCAAGAAGATTCAGGTTTGATAACTGGACAGGGCGAAACCTTGGGCAGGTTTTCTTACTCCACACACCTCTGTTTACCTAGCATTAAGTAGAAACCCAGCTGTTAGTCGATTGGCAGATCGCTTTCTGGTGGTAATAATCCCTCCAACAAAAAAAATTGGTCACTCAATCCACGACTATTTGTGGGATACTGCTGTGCGCTGTGCACAGTCAATACACATTATAATATATATTATGTGAAGTTCTTTGAGACATCTCAACAACATGATAAGGCGTAATATCAAATGCACAGATTATTACTATTACTATTATTTATTTTATTTTACAATCTTCGTTGCAAAATTTGGTGGCAAACTGCGTAATTTGAGGAGTAAATCTCAAATTGGAAATAGCACATAGCAGCTTCCAGTTTGTGCATGGCACATTTTCAATCTTATTTTTAGTCAACTCACTCTATGGGTGGGAGAGGAGGATGGGGATGAGGCGGAAAAGATAATCTGTTGTAATGGTGATCCAAAAGGATTGCCTTAAACTGAAGGCATTTACAACTCAAAAAGAGAAAGCAGTTTCTCCCTGTGTTGTGGCCAACAATCCCCCAAATAAAAATTGGTGATTCACTCATGGCTGTTTGTGGGATATTGCTGTGAAGACATCAACTGCCACATTATCTACAAATATACAGTTGTACATTTCACAGTAAAGTCCTGTGAATTGCTTGAGACATCTCAACGATGAGATAAGGTACTATATCAAATGTAAGAATTATTATGTTTGCTCATTATCATGGAGTAAGGGTTCTTCAGGCTTGAGAGAAGACATCTCAGAGGGAATCTTATGGAGGTGTATAACATTTTAAACATAAACAAGGTAAAAGAGACAGCATCAACAAGATAAACAGGTTCTGGGCTAGGTTGCCAACCCCATAGTACTGGGTATAGTTCAGGTCATTGCCTAGACCCTAAAATCAATGTAGAGCAAAGCTTTGAGGAAGATCCCGTGTTAAATGGTCAGCCATGACGTCCCACTAGATTAGCCAGGGTTCTTCAGACTGAATAAGAACATCTGAGAAGCAATTTTAAGGAATTATACATATGGTCAATGAGATTGAAAAAGAGAACTCAGAACAACCTTTCAGATACATCAAGGTAGCAGGACAGGAAAGCACAGATTCAAGGATGTGAAGGACAAATTAAGGATAGACACCCAAAAGCATTTCTTTATTCGGAGAATAATTAACAGCTGGAACGAGTTACCAGGAAGAATGATAGAGCCCAGAATCCTAGACTAATTTAAGAAACAGCTTGATGGTTCAATGGGAAGGTGAAAATGTTGGTGTTCTGGATGGATGGCATCAGATGGGCCAAAGGACCTTCTTCATCTGAATCTCTCTTGTGATCTCGTGCAAGTGCAAACACGAAGAATGTTCCTCCTTTTCCTCCTAGTTCTTCAGATCAGACCAGTGGTATTTCACAAAGGAAAAAGTGTGAAAAACTCAAATTACAGTGATCACGTGCCAACCCACATCCCCTAATTGTTCAGTGACCACCCCATCAAGGTTGTTTCCAATGTAGTCTCTAATGCACACATTAATGAATCAGAAGAAAGATTTCATATTTTTGAAACAACAAAGCACGCTTTCTTAAGTTCCTGTTTGGTCTACAAAATATCAGCCTGAGTGAAGGGTTTCCTCTGTGTTTGTTGATCATTCATTTCCTTACAACAAGAGGTAACACCTTTAATTCAGAGAAAGTTGAATAAGCCACACAAATAGGAAGTTCACAATGAAAATAATCGTACTAATTCATCACAAAACTTCCAAAATGTACAGCAATAGAAGACACTAATTCACAGTCTCGCCATCAAAACCCCTTTTAAAGTCAAACAGTTGACAAATGCCTTGGTTAGATTTCTCTGTTATAAATAGTTCACCAAAAAATGTATCTCATGGGTGAACAATAATATTTTACACAGTGTAGTCAGTCATATGAACTGAATGCACATCAGAAAAAATGGGAGCTATTGAGTTTGGAACAATTCAACAAAAAACTCACGGCAATTGTGGTCATTCAGCTCCATGCATTGCCTACTTCATTAGTTCCTCTTAATTTGCCTAATATATTTGTGTTGGAAAATATTCCAAAATTCTCCAGAAATTCAGATTACAGAAAAGGATATGTAGGTTTTGTGAAATGGCTGATTGTTAAGAGAGGCTCCGATGGTGAGATTCCCTCTTTGAACACTTGACTATACAACAACAACTTGCATGTACATAGCACCCTTCATGCGGGGCAGCATCTCGGAGCGCTTAACAGTGGCGGAGCCTGACCCCGAGCCAGGAGGAGGTGACTGTAAACACGGTCGAAGAGAAAGGTCTTCAGAGATGATCTAAAAGAGGGAAGGAGGGGACAAGGCAGAGGGATTGTTGGAGAGAGTTCCAAAGCTTCAGGGTGTAGTGGCTAAAAGCGCGGCCACCCATGGCAGAGTGGAGGGGATGGGGACAAACAGGAGGCCGGAGCCAGCCGAGTGGAGGCAGTGGTTAGTGGAGTGGGGGAGAGAGTAGGTTGGAAAGGTAGAGAGGTGCCAGGGCATGACGGATGTTGTGGACAAGTGAGAAGATTTTGAAATCATCAGTGGTAGTACAATGGACAGTAAAAAAGCTCTGAAACAGGTTTCAAAACGCACAACAGGAAAAGAAGACACTCTGTCCAAATGGAAATCTTCAGGCAAAGACAATCTATTACGTGCAGGTCATGAAAGTGAAAAGAATTGTAGCTTACCTCCACCAAACACCTAGTCTTAAGTGTGCGCCATTGTTCATAGGTTATGTAGTTTGGGAAAAAAGAATGACTGCACTGGGGTAGGAAGAAGAGAAAGAGATTCAAGATTTGGATTGTGTTTGTAACTTTACATCCGCTTAAGCCATTATGAATTAAAAAGACCGTGCTACATGGTTTGGGAAATGTAAAAATGTCAGCAAACTCATTGATAACATTTCAGATGTTTTTAAAATAGTAATAGTAAGGCTTAGAGGATGTGAAATTACAGGCCTTTGCTGAGCAAAGAAGTAGACTTGACTATGACGATTCCCAACAAATAAAATAGCCTGCCAGCATTTAATATGAAATTGATTGGCGGCATATAAAAGGAAATTAGATAAACACATGCAGAGGAAGGGTATTAGAGAGTCTGGGGAAAGAGAAATGAATTGGGTTTAGAGCAGATGGCCTCTTTGGGTAGCAAACACAGACATTATTACAATGTGTCCAATGGCCTCCTAGTGCTTGTAGATGTTTATGATTCAGCTCCAACATATGGAATGGCCACTCGGACAAAATATCAGGACAGTCAGCACCATAGAACAGTAATCCATAGAACAGTAATCCATAGAACAGTAATACATAGAACAGTAATCAATAGAACAGTAATCCAGCATGACCTCTGGTGGTTGAGCCAGGGGAGAAATAAGACAACAAATAGGAAAGAAAGCCACAAGAGACCATATGAAAATAGTATCGACTGTAGCCTGTGGCAAACTGTCCCTGGCAAGAATGCAGCTTATATAGAAACTGTCCAAAACCACAGTGATGGCACCCATTAAATTGCCACTGAGTAATCTTTGAGAATACCACAAGTGTTAGAGTACGTAAAGTAGTGACAATCAAAGATGAAGAAACAGCACACAAGAAAATCCCAAGGAAATAGTGGAGCTACACACAAGATAAACAAACTGTACAGACTGAAGAATCAAAGACGATTTAGTGTTGGAAACACATGAGGAATCAGAGATAAAGGAACTGTATACAGTGAGGAATCAACAATAAAGGAATGAACGGTAAAGGAGCTGTACACAGTGAGGAATCAAGAGATAGAGGAACTGTACAGAGTGAGGAATCAACAGTAAAGGAACTGGATACATTGAGGAATCAATGATAAAGGAACTATACACAGTACAGACTCAGTTATAAAGGGACTGTACACAACATTAAAGGGGGACACATAAGGAATTGTAGAAGAAAAAGATCTGCACAGAAACCAAGAACCAGGGTAGGTAACAGGTAAGTAACATGTGAGTGACGAATCAAAGGAGAAACTACACAAAAGTAACATAGCAACAAATTCAGACAAAATAGACCATTGGGCCATCTAGCCTACCCATACGATTCCTGGAAATAAGAATGTTCACCTCTTGTCTGTTGCATATGGGACAGTTTTTCAGTGCCTTGGGACGTCCTCCCGACGTGAAAGGCGCTATACAAATGTTGTTGTTGTTTTTCTAAATGGATTTTTCAGATTTTCAACAAGTTCAAATCATAGTTGAGTCGGACAGGTTAGTGTTGAAACTGAGCCTTGCAGAATAGCTACTGGAAGATAAAAGTGCCAAAGAGTTGGGGGTAGCTATGATGCAGTGCGGAAAGGACTGGGTCATGGTCAGGCGGGACATTCCCTGCTTTGGCTGCATTGTCAACGTCTACAACGCGAGTCTGAGGAACCATCGAGTGCAAAACAGGATGTTTGTCTGATCATTCAATCACAGGTGACACAACATGGACTGTGGACACAAGGGAGGGTGAAAATAGTTTGAAAAATAATTGAAATAAAAAACGATAAGGTAGATCAATACATTATGACATCTATGCTATTTACACCTGAATCTAATGTTCAGTGTTTCAATTAGAATGCAAGCGTACGTAATTCACAGTAAGGTACAGCCCATGTGATAAATTGCATTCAGATTAAATGCAGCAGACAGTGGCAAAGAGTTGCAATGATGATTAACACTTTCCATCTACATTTTGCTTCAATTACAATTTACCTCTGAAGTGAATACTTCAACTCTGTGCTAAATTGAAGTATGTCAAACCAAATATATAGGGTGGGTTCATCTGTATGAGTGCTGCTGTGCAGTAATGGAAAATTGTCAATTGTTGCTAATGCTCTGGATCTTCTCCACTAAGCACTGGATTGAGATTGAACGTATTATGTAACAGTCCTTACAGCTTTCAGAGAAATCAATCTGGTCCTGTCTACTCATGAACACCAGACATAGAAGTCAGAGAGCACCATCTGAATTTTAGGCAAATCTGAGGCCAAATCCAGTCTACCTTGACCCAAATATCATTCTGCACTTTCTTGACCAAGAGGACCACCTCTGGAAGCACCCACCAACACGAGACGCAGTGGCAAAGAGTTAACCTCTTTCCAGAAATCTGTAACCTTGGATCATGACCAACTAATGTGGAAACGCATTCCTCAGTTTCTTCGTTCTCTCCAACAGTTGGGCAGGACTGCAGGCTTATGTAACTGGAACGAAAGGGAGTCTGGGAGCACCTGTGCGAGTGTCTCAACTGCATGTCGTTTCATTTGCTGCGTGTCATCACAGATCGAGTGACACCCCAGAAACCCACCCATTCCCCATCAGCTAAAGTCTCTATTTGTTATGTTTTTGTTTGTATTGAGCTGACGTGTCCCACAGGAAAGTTGGATTTTTGGATTTCAGGTTCAATTTTGGATGCACTGAGAGAGAGACAAATATTAGGCTGATTCCTTCTGGTCATTACTTCTGTATTTTACCGCTGGAGTTAAAAGGCTACATTTTCCATCTATTTTCTGAGTTCTGTCTTGTTTTGCAGCAATTTTGTTTCATATGCTAATTATTGGAAAATCAAGTCTCTCGTGTTGAAGCTGTTAAGGCTGTGACTGACCACTGCTCTCTGCTTTCTAACCCTAATTGAAAAGAACCCCCACTTATACTACATGTTTGGTTGCAAACCACTGCCAAAATTGCTGCAATTCATCACGAGAGCAACATCTAAGCGCGGCATCAACATCTAATATTACAACGCATGTGGCAATAATTTTGCCTCTATTCCACAGCCAAAAATTACGTTGTTACTGAACTACCCAGAGGCTTCGGATTCAGCCTAGGCAGTCAGTGAAAACATAATTTTTGACTGGTGGGGTGCAGATTTTGCCTCTCACAATGGATCATAGCTGGAAAATAAACATGAGATGGGAAAAATAATTCACAGGTCGTTGTTCAGCCTGCAATTTACAAGCCAAAAATAACAAAATTATCCTTGCATTTAACTTGTGCAAGATCATGTCTTCAAAATGTCTCAAAGCACTCAAAGCACCACATATTTTGTGGGCGAAACGTGGCAACCAATTGCGCACAGCAGTGATTGATTGACCAAACAGTCGTGGATTGAGTGACCAAATTGTTTTTAAGGGATTATTACCCCTGGAAAAGCGATCCACCAATCGACTAATAACCGGGTTACTACTTACTGCAAGGTAAACAGAGGCATGTGGAGTAAGGAAACTTGCCCAACATTTCGGGAGTTGAACCCAGGTCTTCTAGCTTGCAAAGGCGACTGCTCTTACCACTAAGCTACAGGACTCCACTTAAAAAAAATGGTGGGCACCCGGATCAGAAAGAAAGGAATCACTTACCTGGAGAAGTATGCTGCCATCTAGTGAGCGATAGTTTTACACTGTTGCTCATTCTGAAATGTGGCACTCTTTACCCCACTTTTTTTTTGTAAAGTCCTTCCTTCATTACATTGAAGTAGTCTAAACATATGGCGCTATAACATCAAAAATCACAATAGTCATAAAGAATAGTGGAAATGTAATAGTTCAGAGCACAAGGAAAATTTTGAAAGCCTTATCATGATAATTTGTTGTGCATGTTGCTATTTCCAGCTTGCTATGTAAATCCAAGTCCCATTGTCACTGGTTGCCAATGTTTATACTGGTGCTTTCATTTAGCGCATATTACTTTCAAGCCATGAAAATACTACATGAGAAGCCTTTTACAACAACAGCCCTGTGATGCAATATAAACATATCTCTCCACCAAACAGAGGCACCGTGCCGCATTGCAGAGGCTCCAGTGTGATTAGAACCATAGAAATTACAGTCACAGCAGAAAGCCATTCACCCATCGAGTCTGTGATGTCTCTTTTAAAGAGCAACAGTTTCAGTTCCATTTATCGGCCTTTTCCACCAACCACTGTGGTTTATTCCTTTTTAGATATTTAGATAAATAGGTTTACTAAAGGAGAATGATTATAAACTAGAACTACAAAAGGATTACAAATAATTACACTGGATAATTACAAATTGCAAAATTCTCGCCAACCTGCATCTAAAACTCTCCAGGATTAAGTAAACAGCGCGCGTTGGGACATTAGTGATATTGAAAGTGCAGTGATTCTGTCCCGTTACAGTAAAATGCCCATTACTGTCACAGTGGGTTGATGATCGTTCCTACCTTAACAGGCAACTTACCAAACTAACACCAAGACATCCCAGAATGAAATATCCTTTTCTCAGCAATTCCTAAATCAGCCTATCTCCTCCATGTTAAGCTGGCTTCTGAGGTGAACTGTTTGGCAACAGAATGGCAGAATAGAGTTAATCCTCCATTGCAATCTCAGTAGTCCAATTCTTGAGCAAGGTGGGTCTTGCAATACTCCAGGGCACTGCAGATGACAGGCTAGCCAGCCTGGCTCATGGACAGTTCCTGGAGCAGTAAGTGGGAACAGAGATTCTTCCCACTCAGCTTCCTGTTAACCCTGTAAGCCAAAGTCCTAAAGGATAGGGTTCTCCTAACTGTCCAAGCAGTGAAAAAATTGCCAGTCAGCATTCTCAATGGGAAGCTATGCAGTTTTAGCTTGTTAAATCTGGAACCTGCATAATCTGGGGTCCCCAAGTTTTTTGATTCTCCCCAAGCTGCGCCTAACACTCTCCGTGATTAGGTAAACAGCTTATGTTCTTCCACGGAAAGAGTGCACATTCTATTCCAGACACAGGGAGAATTTCCACATGTGTATGTCGTGTATGTCCACATGACATACACATGTGGAATTCTCTGAGATAGAAATGCATAAGCATGTTGATAGGTTTCCACATGTGCACCCAGCTAACCAACAAAATGAATGAAATTCAGACTAAACTGGGGCTGAGGATTTCCATTGAAGTTTGGAGTACAGAAAGCCACATTATTAACGGGGGGAAAATGTTCAGGAAAAGTATTCTTTACATTCTCCTTCCTTCAATCCTTAACCCTCCCACCAAACACTACTTGTTCTCACACAGCCCTCTTTCTCCCCTCGTCCCATTCCTTTCTTCCCTCACCCCACCCCAGCCCACACTCTGTTTTCCCCAAGCACTGTTTTACATGTCTCCTATTAATTCAAAGTCATACAGCTGGAGACCCACCACATCTGTGTCTCCTCGCCTGGAATTTGATCACTTGGATACTGTATCCTGCAGATTGTCATTATACTGAGTGGGGATTAACATATTTCTCGGTCCTAGATGCTGATTCTGACACAACAATGTGATTAAAATGTTTAGTGCCAGCCATGGCTCCAGGATTAGCATCCAACAGAGAGCCTAGCAGTAACCAGCCGACTGCGCTTCCCTCCTCCACCAAGAAAGACGACCAAAGGTCAAGGGTTACAAATATAGCTTGTTTGTTTGTTTGGTCAGTCAAAATTGATAGCCTTACAAAATCATAAAATCATAAGATTAGTTCAGATGAAGAAGACCTTTCAGGCTGTCTGATCTCATAATACCAGAAAACCCACTCTACCATCCCCCCATCTCAGCATCAAGCTACTTTTGTTTGGAATCATACATTTAATATGACTTATGCAAAGTATGAATTATATGAAACTTGCATAGAATATAAACTCTTGAACTGTAATTTGAGCAGATGTACAATTTAGGGGATTATACGATTTATACAGATCAGACTAACAATTTAATACAATGTATTGCAATTCAGGTGTCAACCTGGCTGAGCTGGCAGAACTCCTGCTTCTGAGTCAGAAGGTTGTAGATTCAAGCCTCACAGCAGTAATTTGATTTTATCGTCTCGGATGAGATTGCATTGTAGTGCTGAGGGTGTGCTGCATTGTTGGAGGTGCTGTTCTTCAGATGAGGGACATTAAACCAAGGTCCCGTTTGCTTGTTCAGGTGGACATTAAAGACCCATGGCAATACAGAAAAAGAAAAGGGAGTTTCTCCTGGTCCCTAGGCCAACAATTCCCCAGATAAAATAGGTCATTCAATTTGTGACCATTGATGGGACATTATTGTGCCCAAATTGTCTGCCACTTTGCTGACAAATAATAGTAATTCTTACATTTGATGAAGCTCCTTCCAGATCAGAATGACATCTCAAACACAGGATATACTGAAAAGTGGAATGACTGTATTTTGTGAGTGAATACAATCATTACATTTCACAGTAAAATCCTGTAAAGCTCTTTGAGATGTGTCATCAACATAATAAGGCACTAAATGATGATGAACCTTTATGAAACACTACTTAGAGTTCAGCTAGAGTACTGTGTTCAGTTCTGGGCCCCACACTTTAGGAAAGTATGTCAAGGCATTGGAGAAAGTGCAAAGGAGATTTACCAGGATAGTACCAGGAATGAGGGACTTCAGTTATCAGGAGAGGCGAGAGAGGCTAGGATTATTCTCCTTGGAGCAGAGAAGGTTAAGAGGAGACTTAATAGAAGTTTTCAAAATTATGAGGGGATTCTATAGGGTGAACAAGGAGAAACTATTTCCACTGGGTGGGTCAGTAACCCGGGGACACCGATTTAAAATAGCTGTAAAAGAAACAGAGGGGAGGTGAGGAGAAATTTTTTCACAAAGCGAGTTGTTCAGATCTGGAATGCATTTCCTGAAAGGGTGGTGGAAGCCGATTGGATAACAACTTTCAAGAGAGAAGTAGATAGATATTTGGGGAGGACAAGTTTGCAGGGCCAGGGGGAGAGAGCGGGGGAGAAGAACTGATTTGGGTAGCTCTTTTCAAAGAGCTGACACAGACATGATGAGCCGAATGGCCTCCTTCTGTGTTGTAAAATTCTATGATTCTATGATACATCAAATATAAGGATTATTATTATTGATGATGATGATAATAATAATCCTTCCATTTAATATAGTGCCTTTTACATCACAAGGCTGCTCGAAAGTGCTTACCTGTAAAGTGCAGTGACTGTGTGTTTTATGGGCAAATGACCATTAAGTGAAAGACCAATTTCATATCTGGGGGATTATTGGATAGGGCTCCAAGAGAAACCCCCTTCTCTTTTTGATATAGTACCATAAGATCTGAAACATCCACCTGAACAGCCAGTTTAACAACTCATGCCAAGGATGGCATCTCAGACAAAGTAGTGCTCCCCCATTGGAGTGTCAATCTAGTCTGTGAGCTTAAAGTCCTGACGTGGGGCTTGAACCCAGAGTTCTCACAGATAAATTGTCAACATCTGCAACTTCTGCTTCCATTTCCCCCTATAGTTTGGGAGGATTATTATTTCCCAGCCAGTTTGACAGGTCCTTTCACACTACCGTCTTCATCTAGCCTCAATACTCCAACAAGACATCCAAGTCAATTGAACTCTATCAATTGCAACTCTGAAGTAGGCTCCAGGAGCACAAATGTTGAAATTGCCCTCACATTGAATCTGTTATGAAATGTCACAAATTTAACCCCCCGCACCCCACCCAACGATTATAATAGATTATGTATATGAATGATCTGTTACAGTGCTTCAATTCTCTATTACCCTAACAGCAAATGTGGTCTCTTTTGCTGACTTTATTCATTAAATGTACTGTTATTTCTGAAAGGCTTGGCAACGTTCCTGCATATAAAGGCAGGCCCCCAGGCTGGAAGGAATAGTTTCACTTTTTGTGGAATCAGCCTAGCCATTGGAAATTGTTGAAGATTTAGTGGTCTGAAATTCCTGTCAGTGTGATGATACAATATGATGCAAATTTACATTTGTGTAGTGCCATCAGGACTATCACAATGAGCAATTATAATGGAGGAAAATTTCTGTTAGAGAGCTGACACCATCCATGTCCTACTCTTATTGAATATTCCTCAAGAATTTCAGGCCACAGAAGTCTCAGTCCTAGCCTGTAAAGGACATTTCTCCTTAAAATTTATAGTTATTCAGAATTGTGCAAACTTTTTTAAAAAGAAGCCGGTTTGATTTGGAAGTCGGTCCTTTTCGAAATCTGCGGAAAAACCCCTTCCAAATTAGGACTGAACTGAAGAATCTTTCCAGAATTCTACAGCATCTTAAGTTTTATGACAAGAAAATCTGAACCAGCTGGTCTCACGGCTCATAACCTGCGGAAACATTTGAGCCACAGACGATACAGAGCGAGTAGATCAAAGGGTTAAAGAGTGGGTTGGGGCTTACCCTTAAGCCCCCGCAGATGGGGCAGGCGGTGAAGAGGGCGTGCGGGCTGCATACATCACACGTTTCCGTCGATCCCGCTCCAACAGGCAAAGCCACGTTGCTCCCTATTTGTCCCTGTGGCTTCGGAAGTGACCAACGGGGCACGTAATCCAGGCACGGCTCATCAGACGAGTCTCTAGCACCTTCCTTCCCCTTGGCCTGACTCTCTGGGCTCAATAACTTGGGGTCACCAATATCCTGAGGAGCCGGAATCTGGTCCTTTAACGTGGAGGAAACTGGAGCCTTGGCTGTTGCTTCCTTACCAGCTGCCTGTAACACACTCCGCGGCGTGTCGTATAGATGCCTGGCAGAACTGGGAACCTGATACTCAGAACCAGTAGTCCTCAGCGTCTCGCTGTGCTGGCACGTGCACAAGCCCTGCTCTGGAGGCAAGTTCAATGGGAGGCTAAACACTGACCCGTACTCGTCAGCAGGGCCAATGTCCAGGCTCCCGGTGTAGGAAGAGAAGCTTCCGGAATATGACGAGTGGCTAGCCGTGGCAATGCCACTGTCGGAAGAGCTCTGGCGGCCCACTTCCTGTAGCTTCCGTGACCGAGGCGGCTTTAGTGGGGCTTTCGATCCCCGCATGACCTCCGCGTATAATCGTTCCTCTGCTGGATTCAGTCCCTTGGCAGCTGGTGGTGTGTGACCCTCTGGGAGGCTGCTCCCCGACAGCTGCTCAGGCCATATCGTCAGTCGGCTTCCAATACTCGCTGAATCCGACTGGCTGGTGTCTGAAGACTCGGTTGAGCTGGACAGGCTTCTGTCATCTCCTAGGGAGACAAGCACAAAGATCCACCCGAGTGCTCTAGAGAACACAACCTTCAACAAAACAGCATTCAATTCACGACAAAGCAAATTATCACCCAGAATGTGAACCCAGGAATGTAGGAATTGCTAGACGAAGAAAGACCAAGGTTCATCTAGTTCGCCTTCTACCATCCTGGTAGTCGCATGCTACAATAATGTGGATTATTGTGGATAGCAGTTAATTCTGCATGGATTAGTCTACAAAGGTTGTTGACTCAGTCCTGCACACTCCAAATACAGAAAAAACTCACATAAGTTGTGTCAGTCGGGACCATAACATTTAATGGTACATACCAAATTCCGAGTTGCAAGCAAACTATATAAGTCATATAAAATCTGATTTAATTAACAATCTTGGTCTTTCTTCGTCTACGTTACGTAACTTAATGCATCGGTATATGCGCATGCGATAGTCAAGATTACATTTCCCGCAATTCAGAGCTTCTTGACCCATCACCATATGCACATTTGCTGGAAAACATTGGAATCGGATTAAATCACGGGAAATGAAGTTCTTCTGCACAAAGGTTGACGGATCAAGACTACATTTCCCGTGATTCAATACAGCTGGCCAGAAAGTCCGCATGTGTCGATGGGTTAGGATGTAATTTCCTGTGTTTGAATACAACGGTAAGTATGGGAGTAATGGGTGGTGTGAGATTGGTGAGCTAGAAGGTGTTTAATACGAGTCATGCAAAGAAATCTATATGGTTTTGATAGGAAACTGCATGGGACTCACGTGGATGTATGACTTAGGTGATTATACGATTTATAAAGATTAGACAAATTAAGTTTTACTGTATTTCACAAGTTGTATTTAAAGTATTTGCACTAATATATAGCCTGTGTTGGGTATGTCAGCGACTATTCGGTATTTTGCGTACGTTCCTGGGTGAGCTCCCGGATATAACTTTAACCACTTAGCACAAACACAGCTTCACCCATATGCACATAACTTCCCACTCGAGTAAGGAGTCAGGCAGCCCAGCAATGCAGTGGTTTGGCGGTTTGCTTTGTGGGTTTGGGTTACAGGTGCTGAATCATCAGGAATGTCTGGCTCGCATGTCCGACAGCAATAAGAGGGAATGAACTACAGCACAGTTGAAACGCCAAGTTTCCTGACGCTGCTCAGATTAAACCATTGATTTTCGTAACATGGGCATGCCCCATCCTCCTCTCACACACACACACACACACTCCATCGCACTGTGAAGTGTAGTGACTGTGTTTTTGTTGGCAAACGCAATAGCCAAATTATAATAATAATAATCCTTGTATATGATACAATGCCTTATCACGTTATTGAGAAATCTCAAAGAACTTCACAAAATATACTGTAATGTGGATTGATTATGTATTTTGTTTGAGAAGCTCGTCAGTAAATTGCACACAGCAGTGTCCCACAAACAATTGTGGATTGCGTGACCAATTTTTTAGGGGATTATTATCCCCGGAAAGCTATCCGCCAATTGATAACAACCGGGTTCTTACTTACTGCTAGGTAAACAGAAGTGTGCGGAGTAAGGAAACTTGCCTAAGGTTTCACCCCACCTGGGAATCGAACCCAGGTCTCTTGCTTGCAAAGCAAGCGCACTTATCACTATCCTATGGGACTTCACTGCAAATTGCACTCAACAACGTCCAACAGGAACATCAGAGTCAGTTCAAAGTCACAGATGACTCTCACTGAACTCTTGACTCAGAATGGGGAAGGAGAGGGGCAGTGTGGGCCGTGTGGGCAGTGTGGGCAGCGTGGGTCCACTTGGATTCAAATCCAGACGCCTCTGGTCCATGTCCGTAACGGTAAGTAAACAGTTAAACATCTGGATGGCCTCCAAAATCAGCAGAGAATGACAAATGTAAATCCTTTTAATTTGCCAACTGTATAACGTGCAGAGATCCCTTAGAGACACAATTCCCGCGCCTAGAATGCAAAGCAGTTATTAACGCTACTGTAAAAGGTGAAACTCTGGAGTTGAGCTGGCTTTCAGCCACATTTTATACACTTGCAAATTGGAAGCCAGCACCTTTACTTTTAGAGACATTTAATGCAGCATTGAGGGGTCGGGCTCCAGGCAGTGATAATGAGCATTACTGCACCAGTTACATTTCCCCCCAAAGCAACCAGGTCTAACTCACTGATTCATAATTGCTAAATCCCAGCCAAAATGTTATCAGAGAGCAGTGGGAAGATTCTCGGTTTGTTGGTGTGCCCAACCCACAGTCCATTAGAAAAGCTCTTAATATATTGGACCACTGCAAAAACAGGTCAACACAGCTATGGTTCTACCTGGGATAGAGAGACATTCTGAAAGAAAAGGTGGGAGTTCTTATATAATAGTAATAAACCTGGCATTTGATATAGCGCCTTATTACATCTTTGAGACGCTTCAAAGCACTTCACAGAATATTCTGTAAAGTGAATTTTGTGAGTGAAACATGGCAACCAATTGCGCACAGCAGTGTCCCAAAATCAGTCTTGGATTGAGTGACCACATTTTTTTTCAATTTTGAAGGTATTATTACCCTCGGAAAAGTGATCCGACAATCGACTAACAACCAGGTTCCTACTTACTGCTTGGTAAACAGAGAAGTGTGGAGTAAGGAAACATTTCACCCTGCCCAGGAATCGAACCCAGGTCCTCTCAGTTGTGAGGTGAGTGCTCTAACTAATAAGCTCCAGGACTCTTAATGTTGTCAAAAGGGAACCTTGGTTTGGACACTTTGTAGCAAATGTCAGGCTATCTCATCACAAGCCATTCTTTATCTTAAGTATTCCACTGAGGGGAAGTACAAAGCAGGCCATCAACACATTATTGTGCATCTTTTTCTGCTAGCAACTGAGTGCCTCAATTCCTACCCAAGGAATTACAAATGGACATTACTCAATTAATTCATTACTCAGTTCCTGGTACAGATTTGGATATTTGTAAAACAACTGTATGCCAGAAATTCCACTTACAATACAGTATAAATGTACTATCTATATAACACCTTTACATCCAGAGGACATCTTGAGGCACTGAACAGTCTAAGGTTTGCACCTGAGCTGGGGTGGTGGCCAACGGGGTGGAAGGCAATAGACCGGAGGAGGGAAGATGGCCAAAAGCCCGGTCAAAGAGGAGGAACTTGAAGGAGGCGAGGGAATGGGCAACTTGAAAGGACTCTGGGATTGATTTACATAAAGTGGGGAAGATAGGCTAAAAAGCCTGACCGTCGATGGTGAGCCAGGGGACTTAAAGGAAGCCAGTGTGCGCTGGTCGGAGGGAGCAGCTGGATTTTTACGATTTGAGAAGGTCGCAGAGGTAGGTGGTGCAAGACTATGGAAGGATTTAAAGCTTAGGACAAGACCTTGGAACACGATCTGCTGGGGGATGAGGAGTCGATTGAGCTGAGCAAGGATGGGTATGATAGGCTCCCGGAGCCTATTGCTGGAAAGGACACAAGCTGCAGAGTTCTAGATAGTCGGCATCTGGTGAAGGGAAGAGACAGGTAGTCCTATGAGAGTTGGTGTAGTCTAGCCTGGACGTGATGAATGTGTACGTTAGCGTCTCAGAGCTTTTGGGAGAGGGAGTGGCAGAGATGTTATGTTATGGAGATGGGGGAAAGCTGAGTGGGTCAGAGCACCAGTATAAAGTTTAGAAGCTTTTAAGATCATTTGATTGTAAAATTTAAGATCGCACAAAATTGTGGAGTATTCTTCAATTGAGTTTTCATATAGTCTAGGCTGACTCTTGAATGCATTGCTGGGGGGTGCACTGCATTGTTAGAGGTTACATCCTTCTGATAAGATGTGAAACCCAGGTCCAAGGAAGAGGGAAGAAGGAGAGGACACCATCCATGTCCGCATTGCACTGTAGAAGGCAGTGATTTGGGACTATTCAAATATCCGGACTCAGGTTAATTTGTTTTATACGAACAGTCACGGGGAAATTTATTCAATAAACCAAATTATTTATATATCCTGTATTCAATTAACTGATCTATATTCTTAGATTAGGCACCTACATTGTTTGGGATTTCTAAATTCTATTCAATAAACCAAACCATGTGTTTATCTAACTATTCAATTATCCAAATTTCTCTGTATAAAATGTGAGTCTCTGTAAGGGAGGGTGGGTGGGATGTGGATTTGGATGGATTTAATTTCCGCCAACGTGAAACCAGTGTAACTAGGAGACATAGAAGGTGCTGCCAGAGAGGAGTTTGATTGGCAACTGTGATGCCCTTGTCCTGCTGAAGGCAAGGACAGACTCATGGACGTGTTAGACCCAGGAGTGAAGTTTTATAAATAGAGCAAGCAGCTAAAATAGCTCAGGAATTTAAAGAAAGAGACAGAAAGAGAGACAGCGGAATGGGTAAGAGCGACAGTCAGGCAAAGAGGAAGTTAAGCAAAAGGACTGAGGGCCAGGTGCAGAAAAGTGAGATATGAGTGATGATAATAATAATAACAACAAAAGTAATCCTTGCATTTGATTTAGAGTCTTTCTCTTCGGAGAACATCTCAAAGTGATTCACAGGATATACTGTAAAGCTTACTAACTGTGTAGTTTGTAGGCAAACGCGGCAGCCAATTTATACACAGTAATGTCCCACTATCAGCCATGAAGTGAATGACCAATTTTATCTGGGGGATTGTTGGCCAGAACACCATGAATAACTCACTTCTCTTTTCAAATAGTACCATGGCATCTTTAAAGTCCACCTGAACAGGCCGACAATACGGCAGTTTAACATCTCATCTGTAGGAAGCACATCCGACACCACAACAAATCCCCCTGCACTGCACTGGAGTCTCAGCCTGAACTTGGTGAGTTCAAATTCCTGGTGTGGAGCTTGAGCCAACAGGTTCTGGCTCAGACCAGAGCGCTACCAATTCAGTTAAGCTGTCATGGATCTGAAGGAAATTCGCACAATAGGATAAAGTTTGTCCACCCTCTTTCAATTCAATACAAAACAAATTGACATTTATATTGCGACTTTCATGTCCCAAGGCAGTTAACAATCCTGACTTGGTAGCCGAACTGGGGGTGTTAGATGAAGGGGGGTTATTATTTATTATTATTATTGCAGTCACTTTTTGCATTTGCTAAAAGTTCCACTTCTTACCTCCGCTGCTTTGTCGGCTGGTGTGAGAAAGAAGACTCAAACGTTTCTCCAGCTCCTGTGCTTCATGAGTAATTCTCTCCTCCATATAGGCTGGGTTTGCATTGGGATCTAACATTCAACAAGAAAAAATAAAAGACTTGGCACAAAAGTACGAAACAACATAATTTTCTGCCTCTGATCTTCATTCCTGGGGGTTTTCTGACTCATTCCCTCCCTCACCTTGTTCAAGATCTGTCTCAAGGCCTACCTCTTTAACCATGCATTTGGTTATCAGGTGCCAAGCCAGGACTGTTATGCAAATTGGGACGTCCTCCCGACATGAAAAGCGCTACATAAATGTAAATTTGTGTTGTATTGCAATTGAGCTCAATCCTGTTTTCACAAGCACGCTATTACGCAGATGTTACTGGATAGCAATCATCACCATAAACCCTGGCTGATTTGTTTTTCACCTTATTTAACCCAAAGTGAGCTAAAGCCAATTGCAATTTATTTTTTGTGTTCATTTAGTGCAAATCTGACATGGTTCATAACTTTTGGAGGACGTCCCCAAGATTTTCACGAGGTATACTGTAAAGTGGAGTGACTGCGTTTTGTAGATGAATGTAGCAGATAATTTGCACACAGCAATGTCCCACAAACAGCCAAAGTGAATGATCCATTTTACCCTTTATATTTCACTGTATTTTTGAGCGATCTGATTTGGTGTTTGGATAATAGCCAGCAGGAACATTCATTCAAAATTGTGAAAGACCCCTTGCTGAGCGGGTGTATGATACTGGTGTACAGAGTTAATGATTTTAAAAAACTGTCAGGTGAATTTCCATGCCCTCAGCTCTGGAAGTAACAGACTGACTTCAATGCACATGTGAAGGGACTCATTTTATTTCACTTGAAAGGAATTTAAGCCCATTGACAAGATTACACACTGAACACCAGAGGATACCTGATCCAGCTCTGGACAATTTCATTAATCACTGCCTATTTCATTCACCAGGACTAAATTATATCTTTTCACACCGAGTATCGTGTTCAGCGGGTGCTTTAACTAACACTCAAACACTTCTCCCAAAGCTTCTTCTGAGCCAGACACCAGACAATCCTGGTTAACTTGTGCTCTGATTTTTTTCGTTCCTGTTAAAAGATTTCTGGTCTCTGGCCAACACCTTCCCCTAAAAGCATGCCTGAGACTGGCAGCTCCCTGTGTACAAACACAATGTCCCTTGATGCTGTCTATTACTCTACTATGCATCAGCTTGGCTCAGTTGATAGCACTTTTGCCCCTGAGTCAGAAGGATATGGGTACAAGCCCTACGTCGAGCCTGTGAACTCACATAGTCTAGACTGACACTACAATGTGCTGGAGGGGTGAAACTTTCTTGGAGGTGCTGTTCTTTAGATAAGATGTTAAACTGGGGCACCATCCTCCTGTTCAGGTGGACATTACAGATCCCATGGCGCTTTTCCTGGCCAACAATCCCCCAAATAAAATTGTTCATAGCTGTTTGTGGGACATTGCTGTGTGCAAATTAACTGCCGTAGACTCCTACAAAAATTACAGTTACTACATTTTAACAGCATATGCTGTAAAGCATTTGAGAGATCTTCCCCACGTGAAAGGTGCTATATCAAATATAACAATTATTATTATTACTACATTGGAATAGTCCCTTGCTCAATACCACTCGAGTAATCCACTCAAGACTGTCAACTCTCGCACTGTAAATGGGCCACGCTGTATCAAAGCACATTATATTATTCTGTGAAGTGCTTTGAGACATCTCAATGATGTGAGAAGGTGCTATATCAAATGTAAGGATTATTAATATTATAAAAGGGGCCCGACAGTACAGTGAAACCCATTTATTCCATGGAAAAATTAAGATACAATACATTGGAATTATTTTAACACTTGCTAGAAATATGGGATCTACCATCTGAATATGCTTACACGTATACATGTGCTGTACCACCTGTCCCCAGTGCTACATAGAGGGGAATTGACAATATAGATGCTACATTTCTCTTTCTCTCTCTCTATTTTCTCCTCCATATCATCTTCCCAGTACCAAAAAAAAGGATCATGCTGTACAGACTGGAAAAGTCATGTGTTGTGAATTATGAATGACACGTCCACTTCCCCCAGTGTATCACAAGATTGGTTTGGATGAAGAAGGCTCTTCGGCCTCTCTGATCTCATCCCTCCAGGACACCCACCCTACCATCCGCCCCATCACAGTACTAAGTGCTTTTTAGGTCCAGTGTCCTGGCCTCCACCACCCTTCCCGGCAACCTGTTCTTGTCGTTGATTACCCTCTGAGTAAAGAAAAACTTCCTAGTGTCTGTCCTGAAATTGCCCTTTACAACCCTAAACCTAGGTCCTCTTTCCTACTGTCTTGGTGCAGCCTAAAATATTGAATTAGGTTTACCTTTTCAATCCCATTTAAAATTGTATACAGCTCTATGAGGTCCACTCTGAGTCCTCTTGTCTCAAGACTGAAGAGCATTAGTTTATCTAGACGTTGCTCATAGGTCAATCCATAACACTGTGGATCATTCTTGAATCCCACCCTTCCCAATAAATTGATTAAGCACCCAGCAATGATTTATTTTTATCATGTGACAATCACCAAAAATATTAATTTTTTTGTTACTTATTTTTTTTAAATTTCCTAATCTAAACACGTTATGAAGAGGTTGCTATTTCTAGCGAGCGGTGCATTATACATCCCACTGATAATGCAGAACCCTGACACACAAAGTTCTGGTCCTGTGTTTTACCTACAAGTGCATGTTTATCTTCATTCCAACCCCAGGAGTGTTCTGATGTCCTGTGAGAATCACCAGCACTAGACCAGGTTCAACCGGAACAGGTTCCCTGCTAACTCCGATTCCTTATCAAGAAATCCCCTTAGAAATCTGTTGCATGTTTAAACGCCCAAATTAGGTGCATCAACAGATCCTCTCTCTTCATTTTAATCTTAAAAAGGAGGCTAGGACATTTTTTGAAAAGCATTATTTCAAAACTCAAAATCACCCTAGAATAAATTCCTCTGGCCCTCCCTCTCGCTGATGAGTTTTGTTTGGTCAGCCAGGAGTGTGACACATGCAGAAACCCATCACTGTACTTAAAGAGTATTGAAACCAAACTGAGCAGTCCACACACACACATATATATATATATATATATATATATATATATGCCACCTACACATGGAGATTTCCCCTTGTCTGGAATGGAATGCACACTCTCTCCCCACAGACACTTACCCTGCTTACTCAATCCCATAGAGTATTAGGTGCCGGTTTGGAATCAGACAAGGCTTGGGGACACCAGAGTATGTGTTGGGGTACTGCTGGAGTCTAACCAGCTAAAATTGCACAGCTTTACCATACCAGGCTTCCCCCTGCTTGTCCAGCTAGGACCACCCACCCATTTAGGCTTTGGCTTGCGGGGTTGCCCAGAATCTGAGTGAGAATAATCCCCGTCCCCAGCGAGATACAGAAATAAGTGCTGGACACGGCAGTTTCTTCGTGCCGCTGTTACTCTATACTTCCTATATTAACCTGGTAGCACTGGCCGCAATCCAAAGGGTCCTTTAGTTGGAGAGATGCCTCTGACGATGCAGTCAAATAGTAAACTGATCTGCTCTCCCTCAGCACAAGACAGAAAGAAAACACCGGCCCCTGTCATAAAAACAGAAAGCAGCTTGTTATTCAGGCAGCCTGAAAAGCACTTCAAAATCCTAATGATCACGTAACAGTAGCACAGCTCAATGTGCTGAGTGTAACACCAGTAGAGTGAATAATTTGAAACAAAGTTCAAATATACTTGCGTCAGGTTACTTCCCTGTTACTTTTGGAACTGGAACTCAAGACAGAAACACAGAGTTAAAATGATGTTGCGCTGAGCAATGACTTCTGTTTGTTGGAGCTGTAAAGTGATCTGTAAAAAACAGCTCCCACACGCATTAAATCCAGACGTCTCTGGGTAAGATGCTTAAACAGGGTTTCACAGTGAGCCTGTGCTGCTATATTCACCCACAAAACATCCAGGACTGCATTTTATTGCGTGTCCTGTGAAGCGCTTTGGGATGTCCTCCTGATGTGAAAGGGGCTACACCAAATGTAAGGATTACAACAACAACAAATTACATTTGTATAGCGCCTTTCATGATGGGAGGATGTTCCAAGGCGCTAGAGAAGTCAAATTTGGATCCGAGCAGGGGGTTGGCATCAGGAGGGGTGGAGGGCAGGGAGACTAGGGGTAGGAGAGTGACCGAAAGTGCAGTCTAAGAACAGGTGTTGAGAGGGGTTTGAAGGAGGCAAGGGAGGGAGCGAGGAGGAGGGACTGTGGGATGGAGTTCCAAAGGGTGGGAGCAGTGAGGTGATTATATAAAATACATATATTTATATACATTACATGTTTACAGGGAATTATTAATCACTGGGTTAACTAGAATTCAGCAGTCTTATTCTCAATGAGCATCTTTCAAAATTGGAATTGGAAAGATTTGGTCAGTGTAGGTGCAGCTGGCAGCACACTGAGTCAGAAGGTTGTGGGTTCCAGCCCCCACATTGGAAATATTTCTTCCAATCTTCATTTGCTTTCCTACAAAACTGGGTTCAGCATTAGCCACCCATATACTCTCAGATCCTAAGACTGTAATGTCCCTGCTCCAACGGCTTTAACCCTGTTCACCCTGTAAGTAAGTACTCGGAACTTGAAGAATACATGGAATGTGTTTCCGCAATTCCAAGCATCTGTTTCCAGCTGAAGGGCAGGGCTGTGAGGATAAGCCGGTGAGAGCAGGCCGGTGGGGGGAGGGTGTTGGGGGCAGGGTGATGGGGGCAGGGCTGTGGGGGCAGGGTGGTGGGGGCAGGGCGGTGGGAGCAGGGCGGTGGGGGCAGGGCGGTGGGGGCAGGGCATTGGGGGCAGGGCGGTGGGGGCAGGGCGGTGGGGGCAGGGCGGTGGGGGCAGGGCGGTGGGGGCAGGGCGGTGGGTGCAGGATGGTGGGGGCAGGCCTGTGGGGGCAGGGCTGTGGGGGCAAGGTGGTGGGGGCAGGGCTGTGGGTGCAAGATGGTGGGGGCAGGGCTGTGGGTGCAGGATGGTGGGAGCAGGCCTGTGGGGGCAGGGCTGTGGGGGCAGGGCTGTGGGGGCAAGGTGGTGGGGGCAGGGTAGTGGGTGCAGGGCGGTGGGGGCAGGGATGTAGGAGCAGGGTAGTGGGGGCAGGGCTGTGAGAGCAGGACGGTGGGCGCAGGGTGGTGGGGGTAGGGCGGTGATGTAGGGGCAAGGCTGTAGGGTAAGCCGGTTGGGGTAGGGCCATAGGCATCGCCATAGGTAATAAATGTCATTTTACCATTCAGGGTATTTTGTAACATATAAACTGATGGGGAAAATCCCCACCAGCCCCTAGGATTTCCTCCACAGTCATTTCGAAATTCCCCACCAGTAACTTGCACTTCCATAATAATAATAATAATAATAATAAAGGTAATGGTGATTTTGTCAGCAGTCACCATTTAGGCAGGAATTACGGAATTTTAGGCAAATTTTACATAATATTATTTGATACACTATATGATTATTATTTCAATCATCCTAAGGTTTGAAACAAAATACATGAAGCATCGCTGCATCTGTAGCAATCTGTTTTCAATGCTTTTGAATGTGGGATAAAAGTGCCCCTTTGAGTTCAGTCCCCACCAGTGACAATTCCTTAAAACATGCTCTGTTACCATTAATGATCATTGGTTTAGCAAAGGGAAGCAGTGGCAGCTTTTCTGCACTCAGCAACTTCAGTAAAATCCAAGGTGGAACGAAAATAGTCATTGAGAGGACAAATAGCTAGCTGTATTAATAAGTGCTGTATTAATAATAAATCCTTGCATTTGATACAGCGCCTATAACATCAAAATGTCTCAAAGTGCTCCACAAGGAATTGCTGCAAAGTGAGGTGGCTGCGTATTTGTGGGTGAATGCAGCTGCCAATCTGTAGACTGCAATATTCCGCAAACAGCCATGAAGTGAATGAGCAACGTTTTGGAAGATGGTTAGCAGGGACACCAGGAAAAATTCTCTTCCTTTTTGAATAGTGTCATGAGATCTTTAACCCACAGCACTATTCCAAAAGGGAAGAGAATTTTATATCTACCTGAACAGGCAGAAGGCCTCTTAGCTTAACATGTCATTAAAGGCAGGTGCCTCCAACAATGCAGCAATAAACAATAATAATAACCTTGTATTGAAGGCTTATTATGTTGTTGAGACATCTCAAAGTGCTTCACAGAATATACTGTAAAGTGGGTTGACTATATTTTGTGGGCAAAACTGTACTCTGTGACCTAAAATTCCCAATATGGAACTCGAACCAACAACTTTCCAATTTAGAGCCATGCAGATAGCTTTCATGCAAGAGTAATAGAAATAATAGCTTTGCATTATTTATGTGGCATCATTCATATGAAATATACAGTAAACACCTGATAACTTGACCGTGGCTTAATTTGTCACTACCACTAAGTCATCATGCTGTCAATATCCTGGCTGCATTTATTTATGTATTTATGTATCTGTCTACCTCGCCACTCCTGATAACTCGTCGCTGACCCCTTTTCCCTTGCAGTGACGAGTTATCAGGAGTTTACTGTACGTCTTAAAGTCAACTTTTAAGGTACATGGCAACAGCATGTCGAAATAGACAAGATAGTGATTTTCAACTTAAAAGTCTTAAAACCATATTATAACTATACATGAGTTGCAAAGATTACGATTACTAAGTAGTTGAAATTAAGAGTATTATTATATCATAAGGGACTGGCTTGTTTGTAGTGGGTTAGAGAGGGAGGATGGGGCAGGACTGTGGTGGGGTGGGGGGCTGCGCGGAGAGGGAGTCAACACAAGGACGTGGATCTGAAATAGAAAAATAAAATCATCAGATCACAAGATAAGTTTGGATGAAGAAGACCCTTCAGGCCATTTGATCTCATCCTTCCAGAACACTCATCCTGCCATCTTCCATCACAGCATCAAGCACCAGTGCCCTGACCTCAACCACCCTCGCTGGCAATCTGTTCCAGTCATTGAATGCCAAACTCCAAAATAATGACACTGATCCAACACGCACAGGTCAAGAGGTTATTTTGAGCTTAAGATAAACAAGCAAATTTGATCTCTTTAAAGTGCCAGTCCTTTGATGTCAGCTTTGATCCTTTCATCTGACTGTTTACAGACCTACAATTAGCAGCTATTTCATAAAACTATAATCAAAACAATTCTGTTTTCACACGCCTCTTTATGTAGGACAGGTTTTACTCCTGGGCACAGATGAAGAAAATACACAAAATACAGAGTCAATTCACTTTACAGTATATTCTGTGAAGCACTTTGAGACGTCTCAATGACGTGATAAGGCGCTATATCAAGGATTATTATTATTAAGAAGAAAGCTTCATGACAGTCAATGACTTTGAGATGAAAACAAAGTCATTTGAAGCTTTGTGACTGCCGCTGATAAATGTGGGAAATTAAATTGACCCCAGTGATAATTATTTCCAGTGCTTTTCGTCTAGTGTTTAATGAGTGTTTGGGAGCAAACAACCTTTCTGCCCTCCCCCACTGAAATTTCAGTGTTGCTGACTGGGCTATTGCAGAACGGATCGATTTAAGGATCCTCACACTTCACAATTCACTTCAATTCCAGCGTCTCCCTGCACATCCCTCGTGCCCTCCGCTCCACCATCAGTGGACGTGCATTCAGCAACTGTGCCCGAAACTATAGCACTCGCTGCCTCAATTCTTTTCTCCTACCCCCCCCCTTGCGAGTCTTCAGATCACACCTGAAAACCTACTCTTCAACTGTGCCTATGGTCACTTCTCTGGCTCGACGTCAAGATCCACCACCATGAAGTGCTCCGAGACTCTACCCCAAATGATGGGTGCTATATAACAAGCTGTTGTTGTTTAGAGGTGGTCCTAGTGAAGAGGGCAAATATTTTCCAAATATTCGAAACAGGACGACCAGTGACCAAAATCATAGTAGGATGCAGCTCTACCACAATATTTTCAATAGGATTGTTCTGAAGAGTCTGGCAATGGAGCCATCCGACAGAATCTTCAATCCAAAGCTAATTCTTCAAAAGAAGAACCTTTGATCAAGCCAAGAGATTTAGATACTAACATTTCTGGCTTGCCAAAAATAATTCTCTTATTTTAGAACAACACTAGTACCCCATCTCTAAACAACAAGAAAAATAATTCTCTCATTTTAGAACTGCTAAGTAAACAGGCAAGTTTCCTTACTCCACACACCTCTGTTTACCTATCAGAAAGTAGGACCCCAGTTGTTAATCGATTGGCAGACCGTTTTTCTGAGGATAATAATCCCTTTAAAAAAATAAATAAAATGTAATAATAATTTTGTCACTCAATCCACAACTGTTTGTGGGACACTGCTGTGTGCAATTGGCTGCCTGGTTTTGCCCACAATATACACAGTCAATTCACTTTACAATATATTCTGTGAAACGCTTTGAGATGTCTCAAACGACGTGATAAGGAGTTATATTAAATGCAAGGATTGTTATCATTATATTGTTATAGAACAAGCCAGGAATTCCAAGTGAAAGCTTTGAAAGCTTTCAAAAGAGACAAGTTGATTCTGAATAGTTTGGTCACCTTCAATTGTTTGACTGACTGTAGATGTTCAGCTGCGTGATATTGTAATACATTCCAGGTACTTACAAGGACCGCACCGGGAACCTCCTTCAAAAACAAAGCCATTGGGAATAGCTCCATAGCGTCTCATGTCTGAGAGCTTCCACTGCCCGATGATTGTTGGCGGAACATCTCGCACCAGCACAAAGATATTGTTACAGAAGTGAAGAGTAGCAGGTCCACATTCCAACTTGGTGCCGGGTAACACCGTCACGTTAAATCTGTGAACTGGAAAAACAACGTAACACTAAGGTCATGATTGCTGACTCTAAAACAGTTAAAACAACTAATAAATACATATTGCAAATTACAAATAATTAATAATCCATGTATTTCACATCAGGAGAACATCTCAAAGTGCTTCACATGAAAAGTGCAATACAAAATGCAAGGATTTTTATTACTTTTATTATTATAAACACCTCTCAAAGGGTTACAGTCGAAACCAAATTAGAAGTTACCTTCTCCAAGGCTGTAGCGGATCCGGATATCCCAAGCACACATGATTTCCTTGTTGTCTAACCCCAGGAGCACAGTTTGTCCAAGACAGATGATGGCGAGTACGTGATTCACACCCTCCAATGATAGCCCAGGCTCCAGGCCACATATGTCTTCTAATGTCACACTATTCCTCTCCTTGTGTCCTTTGGTCTTCTCAGATTTGTCCTTGAACACCAGCATTAACAAACAATCTGAACACAAATGAAACAGCATCAAACAGAATCAGATTCTATTACATTTCTTTAGAAGTTTTGATTCCTCACAGGATTCTTCTTTTGGGGAGAACCTGTGGAGTCCTGTAGCTCAGTGGTTAGAGCACTCGCTTTGCAAGTGAGAGACCTGAGTTCAATTCCAGGCAGGTCAGGGCGAAACCTTGGGCAAGTTTCCTTACTCCACACATCTAATAATAATCCCTCCAAAACAAAAAACAATAAAATTGGTCATTTTCAATCTAAGACTGTTTGTGGGACATTGCTGTGCGCAATTGGCTGCCGCGTTCGCCCACAAATATACAGTCAATTCACTTTACAGTGTGTTCTGTGAAGCGCTTTGGGACGTCCTCCCGACGTGAAAAGCGCTATATAAATGCAAGGATTATTATTATTATTATTAACCCTCTTTATCTATCTTTACATCCCACCTTAAAACATTCCCCTCGCTCCGAGACTCTATTCTGCGTGAAGGGTACTAAATAAATGCAAATTGTTGTCCTTGTAAAGCGCTCCTCTCTACATAAAGAGTGCTAAACTGTATAAATGCAAGTCATTGTTGATGCTCTCCATAGTTTCTAAAGCTTTCTCACTCATACAAAAGATTTCTGCACTTACTGAACAAAATGCAGCCAAACCAGTGCAGCATATGGAAACACATGATTATTAACTAAAATTATTAGTACATTACATAAACAATGTGGAGTCATGTAGCGTAGTGGTTAGCATGCTCTCCTCGCAAGCGAGAGGACCCAGGTTCCGTTCCCGGGCAGGGTGAAACCTTACGCAAGTTTCCTTACTACGCACTCCCCTGTTTACCTCGCAGTAAAGAGGAACCTGGTTATTAGTCGATTGGCGGATTGTTTTCCGGGGGTAATAATTCCTCAAACAAAATGTGGTCACTCAATCCAGGTTTGCGGGATACTGCTATACACATTTTGCTGCCACAAAATATACAGTCAATCCGTGAAGTACTTTGAGACATCTGAATGACATGATAAGGCGCAATATCAAATGCAAGGATTATTATTATTATTATTCATAGTGAGATTCTAATTGAGGAAAAGTGATCTTCCCTCCGGACTACAAAAGCAATTCATAAGCACTTAGTAAAAATACTGGAGATAAATACTGTAGTCACGTCCAGTGTGTGCAGTTCATAAAGGATATTTGACTAAGATTGATGAGAAGGATTCTATTACACAAGGGTTGATGAGTCTCACTAACTCACGGGTGACAAAGTCAGGACTGCACTGTGTGATCCTACATGGAAGCAGTATCTAGCCACAATGCTATTGACTATTGTGTTTCATAGTTTATTTGGGTTTAAAAATTAATAATCCTTACCTTTCACTTTGAAAGAATATCTCTAAACTGCTCACAGGATGTACTGTTAAGCTGTAAGGACTGTGTATTTTGTAGGCAGATGCAGTAGACAATTTGCACACAGCATCTCCCATAACAACCATGATGTGATTGAAAATTTTTATTTGGGGGGTTTTTGGCCAGGACATCGGGCAAAACTCCCTTCTCTTTTGGAACAGTGTAATGGGATCTTTAACCTCCTTCTGAACAGACAGAGGTTAACATCTCAATGACGTGATAAGGCATTATATCAAATGTGAGGATTATGATTATTAAGTACGACATCCCCAAAACTGTACTGGAGTATCAACCTTGCTTACGATCAAAGTCCCAACATGGGGTTACAACCCACAACATTCTGACCCAGAGATGAGAATGGTACCAACTCAGCCAGGCTGAGAGAAAATAAAATTTTAACGATTATTTTTATGTTGCATAGAAATGGTTCCAACTGTGAGAGGACCCACATAGATATAGATAAAAACATAAAGGTTCAGAACCACACATCACAGTGGAGCGACAATAAATTGACATTCTTGTTCATAATACTTCAAACACCGAAGATCAAAGGTAACATGAAAAGAAGAGTGAGATTCAACAACAACTTGCATTTATATAGTAGCATCTTTCACACAGGATAACATCCTGTATCATATTGGTTAGAGCACTCGCCTCGCAAGTGACCTGGGTTCGAATCCAGTCAGGGCGAAACGTTAGGCAAGTTTCCTTACTCCACATGTCTCTGTTTATCGAGCAGTGAGTAGGAAGCCGGTTGTTAGTTGATTGGTGGAATTCCGAGGTAATGATCCCTTCAAAAATAAATAAATAATAATAAATAATAATAATAATGTGGTAACCCAATCCACAATTGTTTGTGGGACACTCGTGTGGGACTATACAGTCAATTCACTTTACAGTATATTCTGTGAAGCGCTGTGAGATATCTCGAAGACGTGATATCAAATGCAAAGATTATTATTATCTCAGAGTGCTTTACAAAGGGGGAAAGTCTGAAATGGTCATAGGCATGGTCGAATAGGTTTTATTGTGGGACCTGAAGATAGAAGAGAGGGGTGAAATGGAAGGCTAGGAGTTCCAGAGCTAATGTCTGAGCCTTGGAGGTAGTTAACCATAAGAGGTCTGCTCAGGCCTGATATTAGATGGTATGTGTGGGGCCCAGACAGTCAGTCATCCGTTAAGCCACACAGACCAACTGGTTGCAGGTTGGAATCATAGTACTGAATTAGCTTAGCTCAGCTGTTGTGCCACTACGACAGGGCTGAGCAACCTTGGGTTCACAAGAGGAAAGCACGTTAGGGATCCTACACCCTTTTGCTGGATGATGTATGCTGGGACCAGGCGGTGAGGACAGAGTTGTGTTCACCTGTGATATCCCCTGTGGCCAAATGACTTGCCAGCTCTCAGAGTTCCCATGTTCCCATATGTGTGAGGTAGTGGGGTCATACCCCAGGGGAAATAGAAATAGAGTCAAACTTATACTAGAGAGAGGCAATAAATAGAAATAAAAAGAAACACAGATTGTTTTGTAATTCTTGTTTTTTCCTAATGATGCCTCGACAATATAGTTAAAGAAATGTTTATTTTGAATATTTAAATTTTGTTTTTTTAAAAGCAACCGTCATGGATCATGAAAAAAAAGTGCAAATTATTATATGATTCTTATTTTCAATGTATTACATTCGCAATGCAGCTCATTTCACTAAGCACCCCATGCAAAATGAAATGTGTGCTGTGATTTACAGCAAATGTTTTGCAATTGACTGCAGGAAAAAGAGTGAAAATGTTTATTTTAATAATACAAGTAGCCATTAATAATAATAATCCTTGTATTTGTATTAGCCATCCACGACCTTGCTCCTCTTTGACCTGTTAACTCCATATAGACCTGTTCTCTTCCTCCGCTCAGCTCCATGTCCCCTGCGCAGCCCGCCCCACCATCAACAGTCGGACCTTCAGCCTCTCTGCCTTTGGAACTCCATCTCACAGTCTCTTAGCCTCCTTCCCTCCATCTCAAGATCTTCTTCTTCGACTGCACCTTCATCGACCCCCCTATCCCTATCCTCCCTGCCATCCACTCCTCCTGATCCTAACCCCTGCTTGGGTCCAAAACCTTGACTGTCCAGTGCTTTGGGACATCTTCCCAATGTGAAATGTGAAAGGTGCTATACAAATGTGTTAGATTATAGAAGTTGTAGTCTAATAATAATGAACATTAAACAAATGTAGAATGGAGAAAGTACTGACAGGCATGGGATAGGACACATCTGGTTTTCTCTGTTTTTGAAAGAATAACAGGACAGCTTTGGAATAGGGCAGAGGGTCACCTCTTATCAGTAAATGACAACAAGCCCACAGAGGTAATGGTCCAAGGTAACGGTCGACACAGGATCTCGACTTAGCAATAAGTCGCTAGATTCTGACAGGGCGTGCCAAGCGACAGAAGGCAACCCTCAAGAATAGCAACTAATGAGCAAATTGCTTAAACTAGAGGACCTTGGTACCATCCCGGGATACTGTTAAGAAATAACCAGTCACTTAAAAGGAATCCACATAATAAAATAACAAGCACCAGATACAGCCCTAAACTGATCAATCTCCTATCTTAGACAGGAAAAAGGGAAGACCTCGTGGAGACTCAGTCAGGTGGCACCAAGCCAAATGATTGATTAACCTGAGTACGTGACTGTATCAGAAGTGGGTAGAGGGGCCCTAGGAAGGACAAGGCAGTAGGTCGACAAACCGCTGAATAAGGCTAGGTAAAATACGAAGTGATTGGATATGTAAATACGGGATGTAATGGCAAGTCAGGCGACTGACTATAAGTAGCCGAAAAGAGAAGTGGAAAGCAGTCCGGAACGGTGCCAACAGACGGTGATGGAAGATCGAAAGCCTGAATAACTGAAGCAACTAAGAACCCTGTTCCAGACTCGCAGCGCTCAGTCTAGCGGCGTTGACAGTTGACTGCTGAAATAAGCGCGCTTCAATGGTATTTTGATTGAATAAACTTGGCTTAACAGATTTTACCTAAACAGATTGCTAACCTTTTTGATATCTAACAAATGTAATTTGTTGTTGTATTTGATTTAGCACCTATAACGTCAAAAATATCTCAAAGTGCTACACAAAATGCACTGATTGGGTATTTGTAGGCAAAAGTCCAGTAATAATAATCCTTGCATTTGATATAGCGCCTCATCACATCTTCAAGAGCTTCACAGAATATACTGTAAAGTCAATTGACTGTATATTTTGTGGGTGAAATATACAGTCAATTCACTTCAGGATAATACAGTGGAAGCTCTCTGTAAATTCTGCATTGTCAGATGCTTAAAATGAAACAAATTCTGCAAAGAAAGCTTTTTTGGTGTCATATCTGTTTTTTTTTAGCAATTAGAGATACACGTCAGTCATTTACATTGCATGAGGGAATAAGGGTTTATGCTTTTCGCTGTGAATATATTGCATACTCTGCTCAAGTGAGAACGATTGCATTGACGCATCAGCTGGCAAAAACAGTCGTCAGCCCCATGCATCTGTTAGTGCAAACAGCTGCAAAACATAGCAACTTCAAAGTTTCTTAATCCATTCACAAGATTCACTGTTCAACGCCTTTCATCAACCCTGTAGTACTCCAGATCATTAAAACCTACCAAGAAAAGGGACTCTCTGCAAATCTCTATTCAATGTACTATATATTATATTATACTGTACATATTATATTACATTCGCCTCTGTTTACCTAGCAGTAGGTAGGAACCCAGTTGTTAGTCATTTGGAGGATCACTTTCCGGGGGTAATAATTCCTTCAAAAAAATAAATAAAATGTAATAATAATTTTGTCACTCATTCCACGACTGTTTGTGGGACATTGTTGTGCGCAATTGGCTGCCGCGTTTCACCCACATAATACACAGTCAATTCACTTTACAATATATCCTGTGAAGCACTTAGAAATGTCTCATGACATGATAAGTCACTATATCAAATGCAAGGATTATTATAATTAGACAAATGGTCAGATTTATTATTGGGGTCTACAAAGTTTCCTTAATTTACCTTCCTTACATTCTCTCATTTTAACGTATCTTTCTGCATTCCTGCATTCAATAATTCATCAGCTCCAATATTTTTTGGATCAGGGGAGAGAGTGTCTGACGTGCTTATCGTCATATCGACACATCATCGTGCTTAAGAGTGCCCACGCCAGACCAAGAAATCCACATATAATAATAATAATACTTGCATTTGATATCCTTATCACGTAATTCAGAATATACTATAAAGTGAATTGAATATATTTTGTGGGTGAAATGCGGCAGCCAATTCAGTGACCAATTTATTATCAATACTTTGAAGGGATTATTATCACTGGAAAAGCAATCCGCCAATTGACTAACCACTGGGTTCTTACATACTGCTAGGTAAACGGAGGCGTGTGGAGAAAGGACATTTGCCTAAAGTTTCGCTCTGCCTGGGAATCGAACTCGGGTCCTCTCGCTTGCGAGGCGAATGCTCTAACCACTATGCTACAGGACTCCATATGTATGTCACCTACACATAGTGATTTCCCTGTGCCTCCAATGGAGTGCACAGTCTGTAGGGCTGCACCCTGCTTATCTATTTCTACACCGCACCCCCCACCACCCCCAGTAGAAATACCTGAAACACTTTGAAAGGCTGTTTCATGGCAACTATAATATATATATATGCTGTATATATATGTGTGTATATATATATTTATCACCCACCTATTCTGCAAACAAACTAACAATAGCCCTTGAATTTGATATAGCACCTTATCACGTTGTTGAGATGTCTGAAAGTGCTTCACTGTAAAAATAAATAACTATTTAATAAATTAAAAAACACAACTATTGGTAAGGTTAAGCATCAGAAATCTTTATATGAAAAAAATCACGCTTTGAGGTTGCGATTGACCTCAAATGAATAGTATTACAGTCTAACCTAAAGGGTATTTTTTCATTACTAAAAAAAATTATAAATTGCCCAGATCGACTAACTTTTACGAGGTTTGCCTCTGGAGGTTTTGTTAATCTAGTACCATCAGTTCCAAGGGTAAAAAAATAACATTTTTTTTTCCCTTTAGGAACAAATATAAAAGCTTCACTGAAAACAGCAGGCGCTGTTGCTGTTTAAACTGATCATGTTCATTTCACGGCTCATCGCAATGGAAACATCCACACTTCTCAGGCAATCGTCTCAATTCAAAGGGAGAATAAAATAAAATTTCCCAGTTTAAAACTTTGCCAAATCGTTTCCCCTTCCACTGTTCTCTTCACTTTTGCACAGCGATATTTTATCTCCCATAAAACTCTAAACAAATCAAGCCCCATTGTACTGATCTCATGTCTGCAGGTTGGAAAGCAGAAGGACAGTCTTTTTATTAAAGTTTTTCTTGTTTGCAAAGGTTTCAAAGCGCTGATCCAAAAATATGACTTGATCACAATCTGATTTTACAATTATTATTACAAACTGTTGTGGTTTCAGCAGGTTGTCGGGGTTTATTTTTGCCAGAAATTTGTAGCCCAAACCAAATACTAGTCAACCAAATACTAGCCCAACAATTCTGCTTGGCCTCCTGTATGAGGAGCAAAGTGGCCAATTTAGTTAGGTTAGTGCTTTTGATACTGTGTAAGAAGATAAGGGAGGGAGTAAAACAAAACAAACATGTTTTGCAGATTTAGATTAAAAAAATTAAAAATTAGGCAAAGCCAATTTTCAATCACTGTACAAAAAAATACACAAAACACCCATTTGGGTGTGAACCCGCCCAAAAAGGTAACATTGGCTACTGTGATCTAGCTGTCAAATATAGAAAAGTGAGTAAGAGAGAGGGAGAGAGAGAAGGGAGAGAGAGAGAGGGAGATAGAGAGATCTGCAGATCACGTACCTGCCACTGGAGAAGGTTTCCTGAGAACCATCCACCTACTTTTCCACTGCACAAACACACACGCACAAAAAGAGAAACACAGGCTGGTTAGTGAACCCCCTCACACCAGAGAGAATTCAATCCTCAAGCCTATCTCCCCAGCCCAGAGAGCCGCAAACCTTTTTCCCGTCTTTGAGTCTGACTTGGCCCTCCACGACAACCGAATCCGTCATCTTCAGTCATGGTTCTCAACAGCTGCATTGACAGGGAGGTCACTTTCAAAATAGCTTTATGAGAAGCCACACACCAGCCTCTGAACAGCCATAGAGAGAGCTCCCTCTTTACTGACGTCTCAGACAGTTTTGCACAGCTTATTTATGAAAGAGAACACACTTAAAGGGGAGGATCTGCTCTCTCCCTCCCCCCATCCACCCATGCTCCAGGCAGAAATTATATAATCCTTTCATTTGATATAGAGCCTTGTTGTCTTGAAAAGTCTCAGAGTGCTTCACAGAGTTTCCCTGGAAGTGACTGTATTTGGAGGCGAAGACGTCAGCAGCCAACTTTGGTCACAGCAATGTCCCACAAACAGTCTTGAAGTGTGTGACTGTTTTTTTTAGTGGGTGTGCATTTGTGTGTGTGTGTGTGTGTGTCTCTCTCTCTCTCTCTCTCTCAGGGAGTTTGTTAGCCCTGACTTTCTTTTAAGAGCTGCAGAAAAGTAGCTTTGAATCTAAGAATGAGTTTCCAACAATTTTCCAAATTCTGGAAAGCACTGAAATGCTAAGAAAATAGAGTCAGCCTAGATCCAGGTGGAATCATTTCTGCCTTAATACTGAGTGTGGGACGTCCTCCTGATGTGAAATGCGCTATACAAATGTAATTTGTTGTTGTTGAGTACCTTTCCCTTTAATAACCATCAGAAACAAAAAATCATGAAAAATGTTTCATCATTGAAGGAGGCCATTCAGTGCTCCTCGTGTTTATCCTTCTGAGGGGCGGGGAGGTGAGTGGGATCCAAGGTAACATGCTTAGGAACTGAATGTCAGAATCAAGCCAGCCCTCTGTGGTGGTCTCGGTAGTCCTGTTCCTGAGCCAGGTGGGTCCACATTATTCCACGGCATTGCTGATGATAGCACAGCCAGCCTGGCTCATCAGCAGAACCTGGAAGGGCAGACCAGTCACTGAGGGCAGGGAATTCTTCTACTCAACTCCTGTTAACCCTGCAAGCCAAAGCCCAAATGGTAGGGTGGTCCCAACTGAACAAGCAGCAGGAAAGCTTGCTAGACAGTGCTCTCAATGGCAAGCTAGTCGGTTTTAGCTGGTTAGACTCCAGCAGTTACCCCAACACACACTCTGGGGTCTCCAAGCCTTGGTTTTTGCTAATCTACACATAAAACATTCTGGGATTTAGGTAAACAGGATGTATCCCTCCAGGGAGAGGGCGCATTGCATTCCAACAATCTATTTCTGGGGTTTCCATGCGTAGGTGGGATGCTTGGTTTGGATACTGTTAAGGAAGGTGATGGGTTTCTGCATGTGTCGGACACCCAGCTGAGAACCCCTCCCCACCCCTCACCAAAAAAACTCCAGGTGTACATTACTGCTCAGGCTGTTTGGCCTGAAGCCATTGTCTTAAAATTTAAGATCATGCAGAATTTTGGAAAATTCTTACATTTATTCTCAATTTGCATGTCAGCCTGGCTCAGTTGTTGGTTATTTTGCCTTTGTGTTAGAAGCTTGTGGGTTAAAACCCCATGATTTTGATCTCACATTGTCCAGGCTGACACTCCAGTGCAAAGCTGGGGGAGCGTTGCATCATCGGAGGTGTCATCCCTCAGATCAGACAATAAACCAAAATCCCATCTTCCTGTTCAGATGGACTTAATTTGTTGTCGACATTAAAGATCCCATGGAATGATTTGAAAAGAGAAGTTTCTCATTGTGTTCTAGTCCATAGAAAACATTGTTTTAAACAAATCAATAAACTAAAGCAAATAAAACTGGTTGTTTGTGGGACATTGTTGTGCACAAAATTTGCTTGCCACCTTCACCTACAAAACACTCAATTACTAAACTTTACAAGAGGCTTTGAGACCTCCTCCCGGTGCTGTCCATAATAATAATCCTTGCATTTGATATAATGCTTTCCAAGTCTTTGAGACGTCTCAAAGCGCTTCACAGAATATACTGTAAAGTGAATTGACTGTATATTTGTGGGCGAAACGCAGCAGCGAATTGTCCCACAAACAGTCGTGGATTGAGTGACCAAATTATTATTGTGTTTTTTTTTCTTGAGGGATTATTATCAGGCGTGTGGAGTAAGGAAACTTGCCCAAGGTTTCGCCCTGCCGGGAATCGAACCCAGATCTCTCGATTGCAAGGCGAGTGCTCTAACCATTCAGCTACAGGAATCCACAAATTAGTAAAACAAGATGAAATCAATTCTAAGTTAACAAGAAATAGTAATGAGAAAAACATGACAGTTTCTCATCATAACCAAAATCAATTATAGATTACTTATGAAGGAGTTCACTGCCTATTCAAATACCTAGTAAGATGCAGACGGTAAGCACTATGAGGGAACAAATTACTCCACAATTAAGTTTTATTATGTAAGATAAGGATTATTACTTTTTACGATGTAATTATTACTTCTTACACAATGTAAGGATTATTACTTCTTACAATGAATTTAGACGTCACTTTCAGAAAAGATGGAAAAAAACTGCAGAAAAAAAGGCGGCCTCCAAATTTTGATTTGATAATTTGCAAAACAAACCAATACACCTTGAAACGCTGGAACTCTCTCCCTCAATCCCTCGAACTTTATCCCCTCCTTCCCCATCTTCAGATCATGCCTGAAGACCTGTCTCTTCGACCATGCTTACGTCACCTCCCGTCATGCTCCGCCACTGTCAAGAAGCACTTTGAAACAATCGGACGTTAATAAAGCACTTTATTCAAACTCAAGGATTACAATACAAGTTCACACTTATATAACTCCTTTCATGTTGGGAGGATGTCCCAAGGACTACATAAAGTCCACCGATAATTAACATCGACTTTACTCCAATGCGGGTTCAGGAATACTGTTCCACAAATTTTACTATAAAAGCTCAATTTGCTTCCTTCTGTGCCATAGACATTCTATGATTCTGTGATTATCACAAACCGATCATTAACATGAGTGATATTTCTGCTGTATATTGGAAATACATAACAATAAGATCACTGTGTTAGAGATGACCAATAGTTGTGTATTAAAGTACATTAGAGCTCTCCTACCATCTCCAAACAAAACACACCTTGTGTCACTACCAAACCTCTTGACTGTGCTTGATCTGAAGAGGAATGAACATTTGTCTTCACACCCACAAAAAAGAAAAAAAACACTTTTAACATTCTAGTGAAATAAGAATTCCTTGTAGTTGGGAAGATGAATTTATCTTTCTTGGAGAGGATCCACCTTTTTGCCGAAGATTGTATTGCGGATCCAGTCCAGGTAAACGGAAACATCTGTGTATATTTGAGGAAGGTTTGATCTACAGTCTGTTCCCCAGCTGATAATTCCTATCACAAATGGAGTTTTCTTCCTGTAACAAACCAGTGGTCCTCCAATGTCTACCTACACAGATACAAAAACAACAACAATAAAAACAAATTACATTTGTATAGCGCCTTTCACATCGGGAGAACACCCTAAGGCACTGGACAGCAGGGATTTGGATCCGAGCAGGAGGTTGAGATCAGGAGGGGTTGAAGACAGGGAGGGTAGAGGTAGGAGGGTGACCGAAGGCGCGGTCGAAGAGGAGGGTCTTGAGATGGACCTTGATGGAGGCAAGGGAGGGAACAAGGCGAAGGGACTGTGAGATGGAGTCAACCCAAGGAAAGATTTTCAGGATCTTAATGCAACAGAATACTTCTGAAACACAACAAAGTGGTGCTCGACAGGCAAGCAATAACTTTACTGGTGTCTGGCCACCACAACATTTTGTTTTCTGTAGTGATTCTCCAGTGCTTAATTCTTAATACTCTTAGAATTACGCAGCACAGAAGGAGGCCGTTCGGCCCATCGTGTCCGTGCCGGATCTTTGAAAGTGCTATCCAAATTAATCCCACTTCCCCGCTCTCTCCCCATAGCCCTGCTGTCCTCCTAAAGTATCTACCTACTTCTCTCTTGAAAGTTGTTATCGAATCGTCTTGCACCACCCTTTCAGGCAATGCATTCCAGATCCAAACAACTTGCTGTGTGAAAATAATGACTTGTGAGACCTCAGATCTCCCCAGAGTTGAGACTTTGTAAATCAGCCTGACATGCAGAGGATTTCCTGTAGAAAACAGCTCTGTTTATTCCAGAGGTTTCCAGTAATACAACTCCTGAGGAAAGACCTTTTTTTCAATTATAAGCAACTGCGCAGTGAAAAGATGCTACTGTGGGAGACCATGTTATAACAGATCAGGCTTTGGTGTTGAAACAGTTCATACTAATGTTATAATAATAATAATCGTTGCATTTGATATAGCCCCTTATCACGTCGTTCAGACATCTCAAAGGGAAGTGAATTGACTGTATATTTTGTGGGCAAAACGCACAATTACGCACACCAGTGTCCCACAAACAGTCGTGGATTGACATATTTTATCAATTATTACCCCTGGAAAGCGATCGCCAATCGACTAACAACCAGGTTCCTACTTCCTGCGAGGTAAACAGAGTCATGTGGAATAAGGAAACTTGCCAAACCAATCAGGTATACAGTAAGATACAGATCTGATGACTCCCAGCCGTCACTCTAGTGCTATAACAGATCACAATCTAGTGTTATAACAGATCACAATCTAGTGTTATAACAGATCACAATCTAGTGTTATAACAGATCACAATCTAGTGTTATAACAGATCACAATCTAGTGTTATAACAGATCACAATCTAGTGTTATAACGAGTCTCTTTATTTAAAAAGCACAAAAGGCATAATTTCTCTGAATGTGTTGATAGCTTTCATAAGGCTACACAGTGTCCGTACCTGGCAAGCATCAGTGACTCCCTTTAAATTTCCAGCGCACATCATTCCCAATTTTACATGATTGGGATAGGCTTCTATGCACTTCTCGTTTGAGATGAGGGTAACATTGCCATGTGAAAGCGATGAATACACATTTGAGCCTGGAAAATGGAGGCAAGAAAATACAAATGGAATGTGGTATAAATGATGTTCTGTTCAAAATCATAAAATATGTTAGTAAGCTGTCCTTTCATCTCTGGGATCTTCGTTTAATAATAATAATCTTGGTTGAGACATCTCAAAGTGCTTCACTAGATTTTACTGAAAATGTATTTGAATGTACTTTGTAGACAATTGCATCATTCATTTTGACCATACCAAAACGTCCCACAAACATCCATGAAGGGAATGACCAATTTTATCTGAGGGATTTGTTGGCCATGATACAGGGAGAAACTCCCTCCCTTTTGATGTAGTGCCATGGGAACGTTCTCCTGAACAGGCAGATGGGATCTCAGATTAACGTCTCATCTGAAGGACAGCACTTCTAACAATGCAGCGCTGCCCCAACACTGCATTGCAGCGTCAGCTCTGTTCAAAGACCCAACATAAAGGTTGAATACACAACCTTCTCACTCACTAAAAGTGAGGCTGACGATGGTGATGTGGAGGGGTGAGAGACCCTTGCTTTGCACAAAGTATCTCCTGCATTTCCTTACAAAAAAATACCATTACACGTGCCAGTAATTACTGAAAAACACTTTGAGGACAATACGATCAGGCATTGTAAAAATGATGCTGCAGGTGAAAATTCTGGTTAATCTGAAGGAGAATTATATGAGTCCAGTCTAGACTTTGGAACATCCTGTTCACTGGATTCCCCAGTTCCTCCCTACAAAAGCTGCAAATTATCTAGAATTCTGCAGCTCATATCCCCTCCGGCAAAAGGCTCAGAGAGCCTATCACACCCATCCTCGCTCAGTTCCAATGTCTCCCCATTCCCCAGCGGATCAAATTCAAGATCCTTGTCTTTGTGCTCAAATCCCTCCATAGCTTGACACTAGTCTCCTGTGACCCCACCAACCCATCCGCTTCCTCTGCTCAACAAACTGCCTGCTTCTTGTCACCCGCCCAATGGACTCCACCACAATAATAATAATGCTTGCATCATGTCTTCAAGACGTCTCAAAGTACTTTACAGAATATATTGTAAAGTGAATTGATTGTATATTTTGTGGGCGAAACACCGTAGCCAATTGTGTGACCAAATTAATATTATTGTTTTAAGGGATTATTACACCCAGAAAAGCAATCCGCCAATCAGCTAACAACCGGGTTCCTACTTACTGCTAGGTAAAAAGAGGCGTGTGGAGTAAGGAAACTTGCCTAAGATTTCGCCCTGCCCGAGAACCGAACCCAGGTCCTCTCGCTTGCGAGGCAAGTGCAGTAACCAATACACTATAGAACTTCCCAAATGAGCAAGCTTTCAGCCATTCAGTCCAGTCTCGGTAGAACTCCATCCTGGAGGCCCTCCTCCTCCTCCTCACATTTAGAACCTTTTCTTTTGGCCACACATTTGATCATCTTTTCCCACCACCCACTCACCTTCCTCAGTTCTCTCCACCCCCAGCTTGGGCTAACAATCATCTCTTTGAGATGTCCTCCTGAAAGGCACTGCATAAATGTAAAATTATTTTGCATTGTTGTTGAGTAATGCAGTTGTTTTATTTCTCTTACCATTGACCCGAGAGCCCCACACAGCAACTTTGCACACTTCACCTTCAAAGAAAGGTTTATTTTTAGCCACTAAACGTACAGTCTTTACAAAGTGTGATTTGGTTGCACAGCTGCCATTATTTTTCTGCAGCCTAATGAGACCTGGAACAAAGAAGGAATTTTGGTTAGAATGTGAAAATAAAGCAATGCTTCAAGGGAAATAGTTGAATTCTATTTAGGGAAGGCGAACATTTTTACCTATATCATATTCCTTCCCGTTATTTGGGTTATGTAGGGGATACAACGTGTATGATTTTACTCCAAACTCCTGCATGACCTCACTTGGCTCATTTATATAATGTTGACCCAACACAACTTTGATCATCTCTTTTGTTGGCCTGAAAACACAACAACAAAAAGGACTTCTAGATTCTGCAAACATCTATACAATTACAATTTAGAGTGCTTTTCATGTCAGGAGGACGTCTTGAAGCCCTTGGCAGTGCTGGCTGGACATGTGAGCCATGGGGGATGGGGAGGGGAAAGATGACATAGGAACAGGAGTAGGCCATTCAGCTCCTTGAGCCTGTTCTGCCATTCTATTAGATCATGGCTGACCAAAAGCTCAATCACAGAGGTATGGACCTTGAGATGGGGAAAGAGGGGAGAACGTCCACCTCAGTCTAGCTTAATTTTCTAATTTCCTCCCCATTGATATGACTCCCTGCATTCCTGGTCCTCAGCCTCCTCTTGTTAGGTGGGGTTCCAGAGGCACTGCTTGTCCTCTGATACCTCACTCAAGTAACCATTGTTTCTGTGTAAGCCTTGGCAGTGATTGTCCACAGTCTATTTAACTGACATTGGTCACAGACACGCAATAACCCTCCCTCCCCATCAGACACACAATCAGTAGAGGGTGCTCTAGATAATAATAATTATAATAATAATCCTTCCATCTGATATAGCGCCTAATCACGTTGTTGAGACGTATCAAAGCACTTCACAGAATATACTGTAAAGTGAATTGACTGTATATTTTAAGGGTGAAACCGAGCAGCCAATTGCTCACAGCAGTGTCCCACAAACAGTCGTGGATTTTTGGGGGAAGGATTATTATTCCTGGAAAGTGATCCACCAAACAACTAACAACCAGGTTTTGTACTTACTGCTAGGTAAACAGAAGCATATGAAGTAAGGAAATTTACTTTAATAATTTATTACTTTAATAATAATCATTTTATTTATTAAATAATTTAATAACAATAATAAATTGGTCATTTTCAATCTACGACTGTTTGTGGGACATTGCTGTGCGCAATTGGCTGCCGCGTTCGCCCACAAGTATACAGTCAATTCGCTTTACAGTGTTTTCTGTGAAGCGCTTTGGGACGTCCTCCCGACGTGAAAAGCGTTATATCAAATGCAAGGATTATTATTATTATGAACTTACTTTAGTAATTCATTACTTTAATAATAATAATTTGAAGCACTGCTTGATGCTGGTCATATACATACATTGAATGGAAGCAATGGGCAACAGTGAGCACCCAGCAAGGCTGGATAAGAATTCCAACGCAGAAAATATCCCCGTGATATATTGCTGCTAACGAGGGGAAGAAGCCAGACAAGTCCTCTGACTCTGAAATAATACCCTGACGATTATTTGGTAGTGGTTTTTCATTTCTTCTCCATTTTGAAAGCAGTTGCAAAGGTCTTTCATTATTTGTGTCGAATAATGCTGAAGCACAACAGAAAAATGTAGTTATCTTGAGATAAAACTGAACTTAATAATAAGAATAATCCTTACATTTAATATAGAGCCTTATCACGTCTTCAAGACGTCTCAAAGCTCTTCACAGAATGTACTGTAAAATGAAATGATTGTGGGAAACTTGGCAGTCAATTTTTTGCGCAGCAATGTCCCACAAACATTAGAAGATTGTGTGACCAAATGTTTTTTTTAAAAGGGATTATTACCCTCAGAAAAGCGATCTGCCAATCGAATAACAACCGGGTTCCTACTTACTGCTAGGTAAACAAAGGCATGTGGAGTAAGGAAACTTACACCTAACAATTCGCCCAGCCCGGGAATCAAACTTTTTTTGATGGTAACATAATTTTCCCAACTTCACACATTGCATTGAAAATACTGAATATTTGGTATTTGCTTTTGGCTGCTGTACAAAGTTTCTATTTGCTTCATGTCTTACAGTTCTGAATTGTATGTTTACATATTTTCAAAGCAACTTTACTAAAAAAAACTTTGTTAAATAAACTAATGTTTAATGGTCATTCTCGACTAACGTTGTCCATCTTACATCTGAGACTAACTTCATTTTTTACTGCTGGAATCTTCTGGTTAAGTTAACTCCAGTTAAGTTAACTGGAGTCCTGTAGTTCAGTGGTTAGAGCACTCGCCTTGCAAGCAAGACACCTGGGTTCAATTCCAGGCAGAGCGAAACCTTGGGCAAGTTTCCTTACTCCACACAGAGCCTAATAATAATCCCTCCAAAAACAAAAAACAATAATAAATTGGTCACTTTCAATCCACGACTGTTTGTGGGACACTGCTGTGCGAAATTGACTGCCACGTTTCGCCCACAAATATATGTTCAATTCACTTTACAGCATATTCTGTAAAGCGCTTTGAGACGTCCTCCCGACGTGAAAAGCGCTATATCAAATGCAAGGATTATAATTATAATCTAGAAGACGTGAAAAGCGCTATATCAAATGCAAGGATTATTATTATTGTATATTATAAACCAAGGTCCTCTCGCGAGTGCTCTAATCAATACACTACAGGACTCCACACCAAACTTCCCACCAAAATGTGCAACGATAACAATGGCCTGAGCTTGTGGTTGGGATCAGGAGGGGTGGAGGGCAGGGTAGGTAGAGATAGGGGGGTGACCAAAGGTACAGTTGAAGAGGGTCTTGAGATGGATCTTGAAGGAAGTGAAGGAAGAGGCGATGAAATGAATGGACTGTGGGATGAGGGTGGGGGGCAGAAAGGCTGAAGGCCCAAGTTTACAGCAACCAAGTGGGAAGAATCCGTGCCCCCTCCTCATGACCGTCTGCCCCTCCGAGTCTTACCATCAACACAAACTGACTGGTGAGTCATTCATCTGCAGAGCCCTGGGGACTGGGAACTTGCTGTGGCTCAGGAAGTGTCTAACAAGGCTCCGACCCATCATCTCGTCTGATCCAACATCTTGTGACCCAATAATGTACAAGTCAACAACAACAACTTGTATTTATAGTGTGCCCTTCATGCGAGAGAGCGCTTAACCATTACATAGTTTAACGTCAAACCGCAGCTAAAGGGGAGGTGACAGTAGGGACAGTCGAAGAAGAAAATCTTCAGGTGTGATCTGAAGGGGGACAAGATGGAGAGATTGAGGCAGTGAGTTCCAGGTTAGGGGTTTTCATGGAGGAATCCACTGTTTAAGTCAGCAGCGCTTTTATCAGGGCTTACACCACTTGGCCATTTTCCCTCCCCAATTCAATCCACCTTGGAATATCCCAATATAGGTTTGACTGAAAGTTCTAAGAAAATAGTCAAGTGGTGTAACCCTTTTTAAAAGCGCTGCTGATGAGAGCAGAAAGAAAAATACACAACACAAGGGAAGAAATTAATAAAATGATAATTTGTACTGGTTGCACAGAGACATTAAACTTTTCTGGATCTCTCCTGTTCTGTAATAATAATAATCCTTGCATTTCATATAGTGCTTTTCACATCTTCGAGACACCTCAAAACGCTTCACAGAATATATTGTAAAGTGAATTGACTGTATATTTGTGAACAAAACGCAGCAGCCAATTGCACACAGCAGTGTCCCACAAACAGTCATGGATTGAGTGACCAAATTTTTTTTTTTAAGCATTATTATCCCCGGAAAAGCGATCCGTCAATCGACTAACAAACAAGTTCCTACTTACTACCAGGTAAACAGAGGCATGTGGAGTAAGGAAACTTGGCCAACATGTCACCCTGCTGAAATGTTATAAATATTATTTATAAAATAATATTATTTTATTATATTATTTATAAAATAATATTATTTTATTATATTATCACCCGTAATAATATAATAAAATATTAGAACACTTACCATCAACACCACACTGAGGGATATGGCAATAATTCCAGGACACCTGCCCATTCAGTAGAGTGTAACACCACGGCTGTTCACTGTTGTCAGGGTTTCTACATCAGGGAGGAAAAAAAAATTCTATACGGAATTTTTCATTCAACAATAAATACAGTACAAGATAATTTACACTTACAGTACTTTTCGTGTCAGGAAGACATTCCAGCTAGGCACCAGAGTTGAGAGTAAGAATTGAGGAGGATGAGGAGGGGTACAACGACCAAAAGCGTGGTCAGAGAGATACCTTTTGAAATCAATACAACTCCATATGTATTCATTAATTCTTTGTTAAATTATGATATTAAATTGGCCATTCTGGTCCCCACACCCCTTCTTTTGAATTCCAGCTGTCCCTCTGAATTGCTTGCTCACTCCCTCCCTCCCCAGCCAACACTGGGAAGCACTTTAAAATTTCCTCCCAGCACTTTTAAATTTCTTGTATTGTATTTATTGTTGAATGAAATCAATCTAAATATAAATGGTATTGTATTGCAGAATTATTAGTGAGACATATCTTCAAGTCAGAGACATTCAGAAGAATTACTTCAGCTGCCACCAACTTAATCAAAGGTGATGGTTCTGATGGTAACTTCTCTACATTGGACAACTTGAATATCCTGGTTCAGTCCATTATTCTTACTCATCCTTCTCTGGTGCTGCTTTGATGCCAAATCCTGTTGCTTATGAACTACACAAAGTACAAGTGGTGGTCAGAAGTGCACCAGTCCTCCAAATAAGTGAAGCAAGTGAAACAATATAAAAAGTGCAAAGAAATGGGATTAGGGTAAATTGCTCCAATGGAGGAGTTAGCACCATTATAGGTTTGATAGGCTAAATGGTTTCACAATGCCCCATAATTCCTATTATTTGCGAAATGTCAACTTATTTTGCCGTTATATATGTTACGAGATGCAAGGTAATTTGTCTTGCCACCTAATATTTCCATCATTTATGAGTGATTCATAATCATAGTGTTTATGCCTATTTAGCATAAATATGTTCCATTGGATGGGGCGTCTATAACTAGGGGACACAAGTATAAGATAGTGACTAGGAGATCTAAAAGATTTTAAGAAGAACTACTTCACATAGAGGGTAGTGAGATTGTGGAACTTGCTGCCTGAAACGATGGTTGAATCAGATATTATAGATGCATTCAAGAGGAAGCAAGACCTTCACATGAGGGAAAGCGGAACGGAAGCGTATGGGAGGGAGTAAGGAATGGAGTATAAACACTGGTATGGACTGGTTGGGCTGAGTGACTAGTTTCCATGCTGTACATTCTTTGTGATTCTTTGTAAAATTGCAATGTTTCCCAACATCAGAGTAAATTATCGCCCACTAGGTGGCAGTGCATTTCATCAGGTCAATATTTTGTTTTTCTTTATGAAATCCCAGTGACCACCATTTATTTTTATTATGAGGCAAGCGTTTTTTGTTTCGGAAATTTTTGGTCGCCAAGTTTTTTTATTGTGTAAAACATGTATTTCCTGCATTGGTATGTTAAGGTCAGGTGGAATCCACACACTCCACAGCAAAATATGAATGTTTTACTGACTGATTGGATGGCTCATAAAAACAATACAGGTATAATAATAATCCTTACATTTGGTATAGTGTCTTTTGTGTTGAGAGAATGACTCAAAGGGCTTAACTGTAAAAATTATATATAAACAGAAGTGTAGACTAATGCAAGGCCAATTCGAACTTGGCAATGTCCCACAAACAGCCAAGAAGTGGCTGAGCACAAGATTTCTGGCTCATTTTCATTGAAATGGTGGTGGGGAGTGGGGAGTATTGACATGGGTACTTCAAGTAATGCCACTTACATCAAAGATCTGGATTCTTCCACTCAGAGAAAGGCAGCTCCATTTATAGATAGCACCAAGCTGTAGATAACACTAAGATAGGGGGAAACTATGGCATGAGAGAAAGCAAACAGGATCAGATGTTAGCACTCCCGTTTCTGAGTCAGAAAGTTGTGGAGCTCCAGCTTCCCCAACACTACATTGAAATGTCAGAGTAGAATGGCCCAAGCTTCATATTGGGACTTTCTAGGCTGACATTCCAATGTTATTATTATTATTAGTGAGGGGGAGGGGGTCTGTATTGTCAGAGGTGCTATCCTTCGGGTGTGATGTTAAACCAAGGTCCCATCTTCCTGTTCAAGTCAACAATAAAGATCCCGTACCACTGCTCAAAAAGAGAGGGGTGTTTCTCTTGATGTCCTGGCCAGCAATCCCTCAAATACAAGTAATCAATCACTTCAAAGCTGTTTGTGGGACATTGCTGTGTGCAAATTGGCTGCAGCATTCACCTACATTACAAAATACGCATGGTAAAATCATTTCAAGCAATTTGAGCATTTTGATACTGTGATAAGGGGCTGTATCAAAATACAAGGATAATTATTATTATGTATGTCTTTTCACAGAGAGTAATCAACAGTTGGATTGGGTTACCAGAAAGGGTGGTCGGGAAACTGACTGATAATTTGAGTGAAACCCGGTCAGGGCATTATTTCAATAACAAACACAAATATTGCCCAGCAATGACATCATGAGTTAAGGTAACTCAGTAGAATATTCACATACAGGGGAAGCCTCTGTGGGAATGTAAAAGGACTAAAACACATAAACTACAGAGTGTCTCGACAATGATAAGATTCGAGTTGTTTTTGAACAACAGCTGTAAATAATTAGAGCAGAACTAGTGTCCTTGTACTGTCTGCAAATGTATAATGAAGCTTGTGATGATTGAATGCTTGTCAATCAACAGCAAGAATTGTTTGAGACACGAGTTAAGCATGAGGTGATTGCAAATAATCATGTATATAAACTAATGGGACTGCCCCGTTGTTAGAGGGAGAGTACCGACTCTTCTGAGAGAGTGCTATTGTACTGCCTCTCGCTTTCCCTCTCCTTGCTGCAAGTATTTGAATAAACTATATTTCTGAGCTAACTCTGTTTGTGAGTGTTCGTTTAATCCTAGCTATAGCGACATCATCCTGGGTTCGACAGGACACATTAAGCCGGACACATTGGGGTTGGTCGTTTTGTCCAATTTACAGTTCGGGGTTAACTGGCATCCAGCTAAAGTGGTTTCCACTGTATTCGTCTCTGTAATTCTAGAGTTTCCTACCTGCAGAAGGAGTGATCACCTAAACCAAACTGAAGAAGATCATCTGAAGAAGAGATGTTGAACTTAAGTTTCATAAACGGCAGATTCCATTTCATGCAGTAATCGTCTGAAGCAGTCTTGTCTTCAGTACCTTTATAGCCAACTCCATTATTTTCATAACATTTAGTTAAAACATCTAGATATAAAAACAAATAGTTAGTTCATGGCACACAGCTGTTATCACTAATAGTAGTAACAGCAATTCATTACATGCTGGATCCATTCAAATTTTCAAGACTGAGGTTAATAGATATTTGTTAGGTGAGGGTATCAAGGGATATGGGGCAAAGGTGGGTATCTGGAGTTGAGGTACAGATCAGCCATGATCTTATAGAATAGTGGAACTGGCTAGAGGGGCTGAGTGTCCTAACCTGTTCCTATGTTCTGATATCCGATGATATATGCTATATAGACTGGATAAGTTAGGCCTTTTTTCTCTAGAGAAGAGACATTTAAGAGGAGACCTAATAGAGGAGTTCAAAATTATAAAAGTATTTAACAAGGTTGTCATAAGTAGGCAGTTTATCACTTGTGGGGGAGTCGATAACCAGGGGACACAAGTATAAGAAAATCTAATGAGAAGTGAGAATGTGAAACTCACTGGCCAAAGTGGTGTTTGAATCAGATAGTATAATAATAATCCTTGCATTTGATATAGTGTCATATCGTGTCTTCAAGACATCTCAAGACGCTTCACAGAATATTCTGTAAAGTGAATTGACTATATATTTTGAGAGTAAAACATGGCAGCCAATTGCATACAGCCGTGTCCCACAAACAGTCATGGATTGAATGATCAATTTATTATTAATTTTTTTTGAAGGAATCTTTACCCCGGGAAAAGCGATCCACCAATCAACCATCAACCAGGTTCCTACTTACTGCTAGGTAAATAGAGGAGTGTGGAGTAAGGAAACTTTCCCAACATTTCACCCTGCTGAGAATCAAACCAGTTTCTCGCTTGCAAGGCGAGTTCTATAACCGTTGAGCTACAGGACACCGCAAAAGTATAGATGCATTTAAGAGGAAGCTTAATAGACTTATGAGGAAGAAAAAATAGAAGGCTATGGGGGGGAATAAGGAGAAGTAGAACTAACATGTAAACATACCTATTTCACAATATTGACCTGCAAAGCCCGCGGCACATTGACAAATAATCTCATTCTTCATTTGGATTATTCTACATTTCCCACCTTTGAGACATAGATTGATTAGGCATTCTGGAAGTTACAAAAGAGAGAAGGGAAACAAATAATAAAGTCAAATAATCATCTTTCCTTAATCCTTACATTTGTCTGACACATGTAGAAACCCATCACCATGTTTAAGAATATCCAAACCAGACTAAAACAACAACAACAACAACAAGATTCCATTTATAGAGCGCCTTTCACGTCAGGAGGACGTCCCAAGGCGCTGCACAGTTGGGTCATGACCCGAGCAGGGGGGAAATGGTCAGGGTGAGGGGAGGGAAGGGAGGGAGAGAGGAGGGGGGAAATGGTCAGGGTGAGGGGAGGGAAGGGAGGGAGCGAGGAGGAGGAAGAGAGTCGAGAGGGGAGCTGAAGGCACGGTCAAAGAGAAAGGTTTTGAGACCGGCCTTGAAGGAGGAAAGGGAGGAAGCGGCGAAGGCACTGGGGGATGGAGTTCCAGAGCCTCGGGGCTGAGAGGCTGAAGGCCCGACCACCGATAGTAGGGCGGTTGGGGCGGGGGACGTGGAGCAGACCGGAGCCAGAGGAACGGAGGGTACGGGCAGGTAGGTAAGGGGATAGTAGGTTGGAGAGGTAGGAGGGAGCAAGGCCGTGAATGGCCTTGTAGGTGAGGATGAGGATCTTGAAATCAATCCTCTGGGGGATGGGGAGCCAGTGGAGGCGAGCGAGGGTAGGAGTGATGTGGTCCCGAAGCCTGGTGCGGGACAGTACACGAGCTGCAGAGTTCTGAATGACCTGCAGCTTGTGGAGGGAGGTGCCGGGAAGGCCGGCGAGGAGAGAGTTCCCATAGTCCAGCCTTGAGGTGACAAAGGCGTGAACCAGGGTTTCAGCAGCGTGAGGGGTGAGGTAGTGCCGTAATCTGGTGATATTCCGGAGGTGATGGAAGGCGGTGCCAGTTGTGGTGCGGATGTGAGGGAGAAAGGACAGCTCAGGGTCCATGGATGTATTCCACTTGGACAAGGACATTTCCCTAAATCTGAAAGGGAGTACACATTCTCTCCCAGGAGGTACATGTCCTGCTTACCTAATTCCGGAGTATTAGACGTAGGTTGGCAAGAGACAAGGTTTGGGGATCCCAGAATGTGTGTTGTGATAGTGCTGCAGTTTAACCTCATAGCTTGCCATTGAAAGCCCTGTCTGATAAGCTTCTCTCTGCATGTCCAGCTAGAACCAAACTACATATTTATTACCTTTGGCTTGCAGGATTAACAGGAGCAAAGCGGGAAGAATTCCTAACCCCAATGAGTGGTCTGGCTCTCCAAGTGCTAGAGCCATGAGCCAGTCTGGCTAGCTTGTCGTCATCAATGTGCAGGAATACTGTGGAGCCATCTAGCTCAGGAACTGGACTACCACAGAGGGTTGCCTTGACTCCAAGCATTCTGTTGCCAAGCATGGCACCTCAGAACCAGCTCAGCTCCATGGAGACCCAGCTTGCCTCCGCTCCTCCAAGGAGAATAGTGGCAAGAGTTTTTACTAATACCTTTGGACTTTACAGTTTGACAAGAAGACACGCTTTTAGTGCACTGGCAACTTTCAACATCATTCCCATTCATTCGGATCCAGGATTCTCCTTCAATGAAGAACCGGTATATTGATTTGTCAAAGCAGGTTTCTGGAAAACGCAATAGAAGAACAAGCTGCTTTTAGGGTATATACTGAAATCAAATTTTCAGCTCCGGTAATCACAGTACAGTGTAATCCCAAAGTATAATCTCCCAACCACATCACCCACATCAGACCTGAACGAAAGGCTTCTCTGGCGAGAAATTTTGGGCACTTCCCTGTCAATTAAATAATTTGAAAGTAAGGAAGAAAACGTAAGACATATTTCATTAAAATACTTGAACCCCTAAATTCTGCAGGGTTTTCTTTGGGATGGAATTTGGACCTCCGTCACTACATCTCCCCTTGGGCCAATGAAACAATTATAAAATACTTGCGGAACTATCTCTTCCCTCAGACTGCTGAGACTCTCATCTATGCATTCATTATGTCAAGGCTTGACTACGATAACTCCCCGTTATCCAGACTTACCAACTTTTTCCTCCACAAAGCTGTAGATCATTCAGAATTCTGCAGCTTGTATCCTCTCCCGCACTAAGCTTCATGAGTTGATCATCCTTGTCCGGCTTCACTGGTTTCCCCAACTCCCAGACAATCGAGTTCAAGATCCCTGTCCTCACTTTCAAACCCATCCATTGGCACTGGCCTGCTCCATGTCCACACCAGTGGAGGTCAGGCCTTCAATCTTTCTGCTCTCACCCTCTGGAACTCTATCCTGGAGCCCCTCCACCTCTCCCCCTCCCTTGCCTCCTTCAAGGCCAGTCTCAAGACCTTCCTCTTCGTCCGTGCCTTTGGTCATCTTTCCCACCCCCAACCCCATTGCTCTACATCCCTCCTGATTCCAATCTCTTCACTGTCCAGCACATTGGGACGTTCTCCCAATGAGAAAAATAATAATAATAATCCTTGCATTTGACATAGCACTTTTCACGTCTTCAGGTCGTCTCAAAGCGCTTCACAGCATATACTGTAAAGTGAATTGACTCTATATTTGTGGGAGAAACATGGCAGCCAATTGCGCACAGCAGTGTCCCACAAACAGTCGTGAATTGAGTGATCAAATAATTATTTTTTTCTTGAGTGGGGGGTGGTGGGGGGGTGATGGGGATGGATTCAGGTAACGAGTACCAGAGGTTCGGGGCCAAGTTGCCGAAAGCTCAGCCATTGATGGTGGTGCAGAATGGTCGGAAAACACACCTGTGCTATCTGAGCGAAAGGGACAGCAGAGGAGTGGGGTATGAGCAGGTTCAGTCAGGGAGCTGGAAATCCAGCTAGAGACATTCACAGCAATAAAGCATGGTGAGGGTGCCAGCATGTTTGGCAAAGAGAGCAATCTGCCTGGCCAGGGTGCCAGACTGTGTGGTGAAGGTGGCAGTGTGTGTGGCGGTGGTGGCAGTGTGTGTGGCGGTGGTGGCAGTGTGTGTGGCGGTGGTGGCAGTGTGTGTGGCGGTGGTGGCAGTGTGTGTGGCGGTGGTGGCAGTGTGTGTGGCGGTGGTGGCAGTGTGTGTGGCGGTGGTGGCAGTGTGTGTGGCGGTGGTGGCAGTGTGTGTGGCGGTGGTGGCAGTGTGTGTGGCGGTGGTGGCAGTGTGTGTGTGGGGGAGGTGCCTTTGTTATAAATAGAACAAAAATAATTTTCCACACAGTAGTAAAAGCTATCTACCGATGGGCATTGACCAAACAAACGAAAATAGTCTTATTGATCGCTTTGACGAGTAAGTCAAATTGATCAGTGAGCGAGTATTAATTTTCTTTTCTTTTTATTACAATTTTTGCTTTTTTGTTTACTCCTTTTTTTTTTACTAATTCCTAATGATTAAACATTTTTTAAATCAAAAAACTGTGAAATCCGAAGCGGAGCTTTACTCCCATACCTTCCTCACAGTGACTTCCTGTAAATTCTGGCCTACATATGCAATGGTAATTGTTTGCAGTTTCAAGTTTCATGCAGGTGCCTTCGTTTTTACATGGCTGGTAATAGCAGGGGTCTGTGCAGAAAAAACAAAGTTAAATGTCATTGCTGTGCATTCTATTTCCATTAACTCATATCCCACATATTTAATGATCCACTCGTAACCCTTTTACCAAACACATGTCATAGTTACTGCAAATGTTACTCCTCTGTACAAAAAGGGGCAAAAGGATAAACCCGGGAACTACAGGCCAGTCAGCCTAACGTCAGTAGTGTGTAAACTTCTAGAAACTATAATCCCGGACAAAATAAATTGTCACTTAGAATAATATGAGTTAATAAAGGACAGCCAACACAGATTTGTTAAAGGTAAATCATGTCTAACGAACCTGATAGCAGTCTAACAAACCTGATGAGTTTTTTGATGAAGTAATGGAGAGTGTGGATGAAGGTAGTGCAGTTGATGTAGTTTATATGGATTTTCAAAACAACAACAACAACTTGGATTTATATAGCGCCCTCCACGCCGGACGGTGTCCCAGAGCACTTTACAGTAACGGATCCCGGGGCCGAGCCAGGGGCAAAGAGAAGAAGGTGACCAAGGCGCGGTCAAAAAGAAAGGTCTTCAGCAGAGACCTGAAAATGGGGAGGGAGCGAGACGAAAAAAGTGAGGAAGGCAGTTCCAGAGCCTCGGGGCACAGTGGCTGAAGGCACAGCCGCCGAGGGTGGAGTGGAGGACTCGGGGGACGAGGAGGAGACCAGACCCGGAGGAACGAAGGCAGCAGGTACTGTTTTGAGGAGAGAGGAAGTCAGAGAGGTAAGGGGTTGCAGAGGAGTGCAGGGACTTGAATACAAGGGTGAGGACCTTGAAATCGATCCTCTCTGGGATAGGCAGCCAGTGCAGTCTGGCACGGACTGGGGTGATTGGGGAGCGGAGTTTTGTGCGGGTGAGAATGCGGGCGGCAGAGTTTTGAATCAAAAGGCGTTTGATAAAGTGCCACATAAGAGACTTGTAAGCAAAATAGAAGCCCACAATATTAAAAGGACAGTGGCAGCATGGATACAGAACTGCCTGGGAGACAGAAAGCAGAGAGTGGTGGTGAACGTTATTTTTCTGACTGGAGGGAAGTGTGCAGTGGTGTCACCCCAGGGGTCGGTATTAGGACCACTGCTGTTTTTGATCTATATAAATGACCTGGACTTGGGTATAGGGAATACAATTTCCAAGTTTGCAGATGATACTAAGCTAGGAAAAGTCGTAAATCGTGAAGAGGATAGTAGCAGATTGCAAAAGGACATGGACAGACTGGTAAAATGGGCAGACAGGTGGCAGATGAAGTTTAAAGTGGAGAAATGCGAAATGATGCATTTTGGGAGGAAGAATGAGGAGAGGCAATATAAGCTGATGGTACAATCTTAAAGGGGGTGAAGGAACAGAAAGACCTGGGAGTTCATATAAGTAAATCTTTGAAGGTGGCAGGACAGGCAGATAAAGCTGTTAAAAAAGCATATGGGATACTGGGCTTTATAAATAGGGGTATAAATTGCAAAAGTCAGGAAGTTATGGCCTCAGCTAGAGTATTGTGTTCAGTTCTGGGCTCCACACTTTAGGAAGGATGTCAAGGCATTGGAGAGGGTGCAAAGGAGATTTACCAGGATGGTACCAGGAATGACGGGCTTCAGTTATCAGGAGAGGCGAGAGAGGCTAGGATTATTCTCCTTGGAGCAGAGAAGGTTAAGAGGAGACTTAATAGAATTTTTCAAAATTATGATGGAGATTCTATAGGGTGAACAAGAAGAAACTATTTCCACTGGCGGGTGGGTCGGTAACCCGGGGACACCGATTTAAAATAGTTGTGAAAGAAACAGAGGGGAGATGAGGAGAAATTTTTTTTACACAGCAAGTTGTTCAGATCAGGAATTCATTGTCTGAAATGGTGGTGGAAGCCGATTTGATAACAGTTTTTAAGAGAGAAGTAGATAATTATTTGGGGAGGACAAGTTTACAGGGTTATGGGGAGAGAGCGGGGGAGTTTGATTGAATTGGATAGCTCTTTTCAAAGAGCCGGCACAGACATGATGGGCCGAATGGCCTCCTTCTGTGCTGTATAATTCTATGATTCTATGATCCTGGCAAGCACTCTCATGGTTAGGACATGTCGCGATTAGTAAATTCCGGCAGCAGAGTTACTATGTTAACTTTTCTATATTGTAACATGTACTAATACTAAAGCGTATCCTTGGGAAATCAACTGGTGACTATCCTCGGGGGAGTTTTTGGGATCTTCTTGGTGCTTAGCTGGCTCCAAAGTGACATGCTTAACAACAGAATGTGGGAATCAAGTGAATCCACTATAGCAGTGTCAAAAGTCCAATGGTCCAGTTCCTGAGCCAGGCGGGCCTCGGTACTCCAGCTCACTGTGATGACAGACCAGCCAGCCTGACTCACTGTCAGGATTGGAGGGGCAGACCAGTCACTAAGAACAGGGATTACCACTCAGCTCCTATTAATCCCGCAAGCGAGAACTCTAACAGGTCGGCTAGTCCTAACTTGACAAACAGCGGGAAGCTTGCCAGATAGTGCTCTCAATGGCACGGTATGGGTTTTAGCTGGTAAAATTCCACGTAAAACCCATAGTTTGCATGAGAGAGAAGTGGGTGTCCTAGGACAATTAGTACTCTGATCCATATATCCGTAATCTATGTTTATGTAGATTGATGGCTGTTTTGTTAACTTTATTACATAAAACAATACTTAAATAAAGAACTTGCACTTCACAGCAATGACTTTTCCAAGTCAAACACAACAGCTGTTTGTTGCATGTTGCAGCAACATCCTACAAACACACATGACGTGAATGATTAATTTAACTGTTGGATTTTTGGCCACAATGCCAGGACAAACTCCCTGTAAATCAAGAACAAAGGATTTTTAACATCTACCTAAGGAATAGGGAGATCTTATCTGCTGGTCAGCCCTTCTAACTATGCATTCTCCAGAGTGTCAGTCGTCTATGAATTCAAATAATAATAATCGTTGCATTTGATATAGCGCCTTATCACGTTGTTGAGATGTCTCAAAATTCTTCACAGAATATACTGTAAAGTGGCAGCCAATTGCGCACAACACTGTCCCATAAACCGCTGTGGATTGAGCCCAATTTTTTTTTCAGTGATTATTACCCCCGAAAAGCGATCCTCTAATCGACTAACAACCGGTTTCCTACTTACTGCTAGGTAAGCAGAGACGTGTGGAGTAAGGAAACTTGCCTAATGTTTCGCCCTGACCGGGAATTGAGCCCGGTCCTCTCGCTTGCGAGGTGAGCGCACTAACCAATACGCTACCGGACTCCACAGCCGGGACTGTGTCAAACTGAATACATCATAAGGTGTACAGGAGAGGAAAGAGACTGATCCTTAGAGTTGGAGGGATGAGCTCTCAGGAACTCACTCGCTGGGTGAGGAATCACATGCTCTAACCTACAATCTGCCAGCTCATATGAACCTCCATATCTATACAGGAACCCACTTCACACATTACCAGCTGTGACTCTTCACGATCCACAATGGCACTACTGTATTTTGTGCACACTAAACACTGGTATCTGTGTGAGGGAGGGACTGAAAATCTGTGCAAAGGCATCTGACAATGAACCTCTGTGCCATATAAATCCACGTTATCAGCTGCGGCGGCCCTAAAGAAAAGGTTTCTGTTCTGCACGTGGCTTCTCTGCATCACAAGACACTTAGTGAATGCTGTGGAGTTCAAAGAAGTACCCACGTCACTGTGATTATCAGAAAAATGCTCGTGGATGTTTTGCTTTGAGCAGCAACAGCAGCATCCCAGTAGCGATCTCAGTTAAGACAGCACATCTCGGAAGATTTCACTCAATGTCTCAGAAGATTAAAGGTAGTTACATTTATTCTTAACAATGTGTTCAAGTCACTGTATCTGTTACTGCACATGGCACCACTCAACCACTCAATAATAATTATTTGGTCATTCAATCCACGACTGTTTGTGGGACACCGCTGAGCGCAATTGGCTGCCGCGTTTCGCCCATAGAAATATACGGTGAATTCACTTCACAAAATATTCTTTGAAGGGCTTTGAGACGTCTCAATGCTGTGAGATAAGGCGATATTCAAATGCAAGAATTATTATTATAACTTATTAAAGCCTCCTCCACATCATTTTAGTTTATGGACTTTTTATAAATTTATAAATTTTCTCCATGCATACAATGCCCCTACTTTCACAAGTTATGTATCTATCCATAGATCTATAATAATAATTCTTGCATTTGATTTAGCACCTTTCACATTCGGAGGACGTCTCAAATCGCTTCACAGGATGTACTGCAAAATGTAATGTGGTGTATTTTGTAGGTGAACCCAGCAGCCAACTTGAGCACAGCAATGTTCCAGAAACAGCCAGGAAGTGAATGTCCAATGCTACAATCATAATAATAATCCTTGCACTTGATATAACACTTTATCACATCATTGAGATGTCTCAAGGCGCTTCACAGAATATACTGTGAAGTGAATTTACTGTGTATTTTGTGGGCAAAACAACACACATCAGTTATCTGGCGCACAGTCAGTTCATTCACAGTTAGAGTGTCATGGGATCTTTAACATCCACCTAAACAGAGAGGCAGGACCTTGTTTTAATATCTCATCTGAAGGACAGCACCTCAATAATGCAGGACACTTCAAGTACTTTAATGCAGTGTCAGTGTGAATTCAAAATCCCGATGTGGGGCTTGAACCCACAAACTCTGACTCAGAAGCAAGAGTGCTACCAACTGAGCCAAGCTGACACCTGACACGAGATGTAGATTCATATGAATACCATGGTACTATTTGAAAAGAGAAAGGAGATTCCTTTCTCCTAAACCCCTAAATAGAATTGATCATTCACTTCATAAATAAATTGGTCATTTTCAATCTACGACTGTTTGTGGGACATTGCTGTGCGCAATTGGCTGCCGCGTTCGCCCACAAATATACAGCCAATTCACTTTACAGTGTGTTCTGTGAAGCGCTTTGGGACGTCCTCCCGACGTGAAA